GTTACTTGGACCTTTTGAGCTCCTGTTGCTATAGGTGACCCATATCGGGTTTAGTACCGCAGGGCTCACTGGACCAAAATGTTGGAGCACAAAGATGAATTTGCTGATGTGCTTGAGTCAGGAGAGTCCTCAGACTCTGGTCTATAGAAGGTCAAGAGGGGAGAGCCAGGACAGTTCTTCCTGGGCTGGAGTCAGTTCTGTGAGCTGACACAGAGGAGAGACCTCCTCATTCCAATGAAACAAAATCTCCTTGTGCTACACATTCTCTATGGAATAGAAGGAAAACATTTTCATTGTACTCTCATTCACCCCCTCCTGCTTCTAAAGTTTTGAGTGGTTTACTCCTGTCTCAGGGCACTGCAAGTGCAATTGCCTCCTTACATGCACAAACCCACACACTCCCTGCTCCCTTCCTTTGGGCTGTTTTCTCCCACACTCAATATCAAGAAATGAAGTGCCATGAAACCCTGATTCATCACAAATGTGGGGAAGATCTTAGAAAGGGGAGGTAAGGTGTGAGAGCACTGACACACTTTGTTTCTGGCTGGTAAGGTGAAGTTTGCTTCCAGCAAATCCAGCTGGAGTGTGGTAGCTTCAAGCTGCCTGGAGGTTTGGACTGGGGAGTTTTTGCTATTAAAAGAATTTTGCTGTTAAAGGAAACCTGTTTCCAAAGCAGGGCTGTTTGCACTCCCTTTGACTCACAGGTCCAACCAATCTTTGCACTTTAGGGAGCCACGGACAGTCCGCAAACCTTGCTGAAAGCCTATGGAGATACAGTGGAGCAGCAAAGGAGGGCTGGGAGGTTTGCAAACTGTCTGCACATATGAGTGATTTCTACATGCCATTGGCAAGAGCAAAGTGAATCCAAAAAAGATGAGGTAAGACTGTGGGGACTGCAAATATTACTTCTAATTCTGCATGTCTTCAGTAACAGTTTGGGAGAAGCTTGTGGGGTTTCTTCTTGTGGCATTGGGGAGGAACATGTTCTGTTGCTGTTCTTCATCCATGTCAGAGTGACCTGTGCAGCCTGCACAGTTTCATGTTATTCAGGGCAGAAACCAAGTTTGGAGCTGCTCAGCATTACAGAGTTATTGCTGTTAAAACCAAAACAAACTCCAAACCTATTTATAAAGATGTGAGATAGCACCAGTAGTTGGGTGACACATTGTAGCTGCTACAGAGCCTTAAGACCAGGGAAAGTTTCTGCACAGTAAGCAGGCCCAGAGGTCCTCTGGCTTGCTTTGCCCCATTCTTGTAGTTTGGACAATGAAACTATGGAGCATTTAGCTACTGAAATAGTACTACACATGACACCACGCAGAAGTGCTAAATCCATTCCTGGAAGCAATACTCAGGAGGGGTTATGCTAGACCTTAAAGCCCTGTTGTTTGGCTGTTGTTTTATGTTCAGACAGGAAAGCAGATGCTTTGACCCCAGAGCGCTACCAGATTCGTAAAAAGGGACACAAAATTCCTTCTTCAACTGCTACACTTTGATCACAAAAATTGTCTGCATTGGGACCTCCTCAGAAGTTGTGTTTCTTGACTAACATGACGTCCCAGAGTGTGTGGCTCTCTGAAGGCCTGACACATCATGTAATTTCTCATTCTGCCAAACAGATGCAAAGTGAACTTTCTTCCCCTGAACACCACAGGTTTCCGCTTTCCTTTGTGAGGAAATGTTTAACCACATCTGTGAAAACTCTCTTTGGTTCTGTTGGCACATATAGTTTGGGTCTTGTAACTATTTTTCCTTTCAGTACATCATTTCAGTTTAAACGAATGGTTTTCTACTGCTTTGCTGTTCATTAACTAAATTCCAGGTATCTCCCAGGGCTGCAGGACTTTTGTTCACAGACGTCCTTCACAGTCGAGAGAGTGACAAGGATACTACTGATTATTCTTTCCCCTCATTGGATAAATAGAATAATTAACATGTGGCTGATAGGGGAGCACAGAACTTGTCAGTGTTGGTCTGTCAGTGCTAAATTACACTCTCAGAGAATGAGAGGTTATAGGTTGACTCCAACATCATTTCTGGAAAATTGGATGGGGTATAACATCTTGTCTGATATTGAATATATTCTTAATAGCAGTGATCATTGTTTTACCACAGGGTTACAACTAGTCTTCAGATTTTCCATGGATCAGGATGAAAGGCTGCTTTCGGTACTCCACGATAAGACCCTGTCTTGTCTATATCAAACAGGTGTTATCTCTCACCAAGCCTTTTCTGTGTAGTTGTGGAAGAAAAACATCCTCCTCCTCCCCTCACTCACTTCTACTCATGACTAAGCTGCAGAGAAATTTGTAATGTTACAGTATTATCTTAGTAAATTTAGTTGCTTCCAGTAGATGGCATTACAGCAGTGCAGTCCTGATAGAGGTTAGTTCCTATCCCTGCTTTGGCTGCCGGAATAACCCCTCTGTTACTCTGTGCACAGAAGTGGATTTTTTTTCTCCTAACACTCAATATAAATGGTGTTTAAAACACTCTTGTTCTTTTAATTTTCTACCTAATAAAAGGTGTTATTTCTATTTTATGCATTTTTATAGCATTTTTTGGTTTATTTTTCAATGTGCATAAGTCCACAATCACTTTATTTTAGAAAATTTGTCAAGACACTGATTGTTTTGGATTGTATTCACAAATATGATAACCACTGGGCACTGTTCTTGCATGTATAAAGGTTCTGTCCTCACGTTATGTATCTGGGCTTTCTGGATGACAGGGAAGAATTAGGCACTTCACATCAGGTCCACAGCAGCTATCAGGCAAAGTAGAGACTAGTTACAAGAAGCAACTGGTAATTTTAACTGTTCATTAAATTTCAGATATGTTTGTTAGTTTTTTAGGTACATTCCTCTGTACGGTCTCAAAAATGCAAAAATACTGTGGACAGATATGCTTGCATAAAAAAACCCAAGCCAGATATGAAGATAACTGTTTTTAGTGCTGATGTCAAAGTCAATTCTGACAAAAACATGTTACCCCACTGACTGCACTTGGACATAGCATAAGTGGACATCACAACACCTCCACACAGATGCCCAAAAGCCATTCTTGAAGCTACTTGTCTTCAAGTCAATTCACTTACATTATTCATTAATCAAAATTTTCATTAGAAAAAATAAACAAACCTACCAGAAACGTGGCTAGCATATTGTGTTGTTTACCTTTGCATTACAATAAATGTAAATTAGAATTTGTCTTTATTTAACCATGCACTTGTGTATTTTAAGCCAAGACAATCTGACTCATAAAAGACAACTCTTAGCATTTGATCTTCCTTCTGTTTAGTTACAACACATTCCAATTTTACCTCATTGACCTAGCATGGAATTTATTAACTTACTACCCAATTCACAAAAAGCTGAGCAAAATTTAAGTATTTCCCCATAAGTCATCAAAGCTTCTAGTCAACCAGGTTTGCACTTGCAAGTAAAAAAAAAAGCTCAAAGTATTTTTTCTTTGCAACCAAAACCATTGCTGAGGCTTGGGGAGAAGGGACGAGAGAGGGAAGCAGGGCATGTGTCTCAAGGATTTGGGCATTACAGGTTTGAGGGATGGCACCTTCCCCCATTTCGGTTCCATAATCCTGAGTCCTTTCCTGAAATAAGGAACCGAACGTAACCCTTGAGGACATCTGTATGTGTATATATGTGCATGAATATATATAGAAAGACAGATAAAACAGCACTCCTTTCTTCACCCAATAGGCATTTTATGGTTCTTGAAGCATGTTAGCATCCTGTTTATTGCTCAAATAAGCACTCACCCAGGATAGGAGGCCTTATGTGCCCTGATGGAAGGGCTGACTGACAACCCTAAATCATTATACCCTCGGGCTCTCTCAGCCTCTCCTGCTCCATTACCACTTGACCATATTAATCCAGAATACTGAGAGGTGCAGGATTTCAGGCGTTGGCAGGGTGAGATGGCTGTTGGTTGGGATTTGGGGAATGGCAGTTTCAGACAAAGTGGCCAAAGTAGCCCTTTGACTTGATTACACTAACTTGCTTATTTTCTTCGATATTTGCAGTCAGTATTATTTATTTGGTTTGGTACCAGTATGTTTATTCAAAAGGACTGAAGGCTTGGGCTTTCAGCTAGAGTTCTGCAGAAGTTGCTGTTCTAACTCTACTGTCTGCTGTTTGCAACTTTACAAAGTTTTGCAATTAAATCTTCTGTATGTAGCATGTGGTCAAAAATAATTTTACATTTGCTGTGAAATGAGCAGAATGGTTAAACTACTGTGGAATTGAGAGGGGAGAAGCAGGAGCAGTCTTTTGAGTAACAAAACTGGTGTGACATACATTTACATATCCCAGCTGCTAAAGCACCCGAGTGGAAGAAAATGAAATTTGCCAGGGAAATAGCTTTTTTGAGGGAAAAAAAATGCTACACTCTGTGTCTATGTCACTGAAACCACATCTCTGAGTCATTCACAGCTGCCTTTCATGCAGAAAGCAGGACAAAAGGCACTGCCACTGCTTGATCCTTGTTCCCAGGGCAAGGGGCTGCAAGTGGCTGTGCTGCAGCTGTTGTGGGTGGGCAGGTCTCTGTGTCTGCAGTGGGCAGCAGGTGGAACCCTGGGCTGGGCTTCATGTAACTACACCTGGAAAGGCTGTGCACAGGTTGTGGCAGCATACAGGCAGTGGTCTGTGCTACAGCTGTATCACTGCCTTCTTGTTGAGCAAGGCACTGGGAGCAGAGCGCTCGGGCAGACCTGCAGTGGAAGAACCAGTGATGATGCAGCTCCCAATCTGCTCTGTTTCCACCCATCCCAGCTAGCTGCCAAGGGAGCCAGGGCTGGGGAGCAACAGCAGAAAGAGATAGGAGACAAGAAGTGCAGCGAGATGCATGCACCTTCCTTACAGGGTGGGAACCTGGTTCAGAGAACAGTAAGGGCCAGACCCGTTTGTACGAATGTAATAGACATAACTCTGATGTGTGTGCAAGGCCTCCATCACCGTTATATTGATGTTTCCCTTCAACAGAAACGACCTGGGAGCGGCCAAGCAGTGTGCCTGGGACTCCAAAGAGCCCTGTGTCACAGCAGAGTTCTGCAGGTACTGTTTGATGCTGTGCCTGACCACTGCATTGGGTGAATCTGCTTCTCAACTGCTCAGCAAAGGAAAATGCTGTGATTACGTGGGATGTGTACAAGTACATGGTCATGCAAGTGTAGCAGAGTAAACATGGTGGGACTTTCCCTTCTGATACATCTTCTTGCCTGTTGTTTCCCTACTGATACATCTTCTGGCCATTAGTCTGAAGTGTCTGCTCAGAGCTGAGATGGCTCCTTCCTCAGGGCACAGGGGCAGGTGATGGCCCGGCAAGCCAGCAGGGCTGCCGGCTCGGGGAGGGAAGGATAGTCTGCCTTCCCCAGTCCTGCTTTCTGACAGAGCAGGGGAAGCAAAATGCTGCAGAGGAACGTGGGCTGGCTGTAGCTCTTCCACACAGAGCACATGTGCACAATGAAGTGTTTCAGCGTGTGGTAGCTACAGGGTTAATCACTTCACCTTTGTCCTGACTTGAAGTTGCAGGGAATTAAGTAACAGAGAATTACCTGTACAACTGTACTGAAAAGCTTTGCATACTGCAGAAAGACAAAGCAAAGCAAAAGTTACTCTAGAATAAAAACTTAAATGTAAAGGTCATTGCTGCCAGCTGACTGTAAATAATGCTGTCTAGAGGATGTTTTTTTGTAGAATTTTTTCGAACCAATAGCCCTCTTTATCAGCAGAGCTGAGTGGGAAGCATGCTTGAAAGTTGTGACCAAAGGATTTATATTGTAGTTGTAGACTTTGTTGTAACCCTACTTTGAGCATTATTTTTTGCTCAGTATATTCCAAAAAATAAAACAAGCTGCAGCTGTATACATGAACCATAAACATCTTATAATGCTTGATATCTCAACATGAAAATCCCATCTCCATTAAACCAGTGCTTTTTACATATGTGGTGGGTTGACACTGGATGGATGCCAGGTACCCACCAAAGCCACTCTATCATTCCCCCTCCTCAGCTGGACAGGGGGAAGAAAAATATGACAAAAGGCTCATGGGTCGAGATAAGGACAGGGAGATCACTCAGCAATTATCATCAAAAGCAAAACAGACTCGGAAAATTAATTTATTACCAATCAAATCAGAGTAGGATAATGAGAAATAAAAACCAAATCTTAAAACATATTCCCCCCACCCATCTGTTCTTCCCAGGCTCAACTTCTCTCCCGATTTTCTCTACCTCCTTGCACCCTGAGCAGCGCAGGGGATGGGGAATGGAGGTTGCAGTCAATTCAACACGTTGCCTTGGTAGCTCCTTCCTTTTCAGGGACTCCTCACTCTCTTCCCCTACTCCAGCATGGGCTCTCTCCCATGAGAGACAGTCCTCCACAAACTTCACAGACATGAGTTCTTCTCATGGGCTGTAGTGCTTCATGAACTGCTCCAATGTGGGTTCCCCACGGGGTCACAAGTCCTGCCAGCAAACCGGCTCCAGTATGGTCTTCTCTCACCACGGCATGGGCTTCCCATGGGGTCAGAGCCTCCTTAAGGCACAGCCACCTCCTCCAGGGTGGGGTCTTTCATGGGCTGCAGGTGAATATCTAGTTCACCATTAACCTCCATGGGCTGCAGGGGAATCAGCTCCAGCACATGGAACACCTCCTCCAGCTCCTTCTTCACTGACCTTGGTATCTGCAAAGTTGTTTCTCTCACATATTCTCACTCCCATCTCTGGCTGCAGTTTCTATTGCACAGAGCTTTTTTTTTTTTTTTTTTTTTTTCTTCCCCTTCTTAAATATATTATCCCAGAGGCATTTACCACCATCGCTGATGGGCTCAGCCTTTGCCAGCAGCGGGTCTGTTCTGGAGCCAGCTGGCGTTGGCTCTGTTGAACATAGGGGAAGCTTCTAGCAGCTTCTCACAGAAGCCACTCCTGTAGCCCCCCCACTACTAAAACCTTGCCACACAAACCCAATATAATATGCCCTACTTCTTCAAACACATGATCTTACCAAACAGCACCATGGGAACTGTTTTGAGTTCAGGGTTCTCTTTTTCTTGGCTCTTTCCAGCTCAGTAACTTCTGTCATAACTTTGGATAAGACCCTACTGCAGGATCCTGAGGGTGGAGTGGGCCCATGGGCTAAGCTTCTGTAGAGTCTGGTTCTGGGGCCTTTCTGGGTTGGAGCTAACATGTCACACATTGCTAGCCTGTTGGGATGGGGAGAAGCATCCACAGTTTCTTAGGCTGGAGGCACTGAACACCAGTGACTCAAAAAAGGCACTGTGATTTATATCTTTATATTCAATTACGTGATCAGTTTTTAAAATGTGTAGTTATTAATTTTCTACCAGCAGCAAGCCTGCTAACTCTCCATCTCTTCTTACAGTGAATGGCTACCACATCTCTGGGACCCCAGTACACCAGGTTGACTCTGTTCATATGAGCCTCCGAAAAGCCAGTGGTGACCCCCAGGTAAGTTTTGGTTAAAAAGCCAAACAGTGGTATCCAAGAATAAATGGGTCTTCACTTAAGTAGTTTAAGAATCTGCCCAGAGCAGGAGCTCAAGAGGCATTTTCTTTTAGAAATTATCAGATCTTACAGATATGTTGCATCTAGGATAGTTAGTCTTTATGCTCAACTTGTAAAACAGTACAAAATGCCAAGATACTTTGGATTTTTTTGTGCTATCACTCATTTCTGAAAAATCCACCAGGCCACTTCAGTTGCTATTAACAACCCTACAAATTTTCCTGCCACTACAGCCTGAAGCCTGGGCCTGTCTCCAGCACAGTCCTCTCTAGACTTCCACATCTGCCCATGTCTGTATCTCATTGTATTTTTTTGCAGCTCCAGCTTTCCCTCCCAAAGACAGTATTCACAAAGAATTTGTCTGAAGCTTCTTTCTCAATTACTTCATCCATTTCTGCATGTCCTTTTACAGGCCCTCCTCTGTGCCTTACAGAGCCTCACCCATCTCATCACCCAGGCTAGTGTTCAAGACGCTGATCCCTAGACAGCTGGTCTCCCTGGCCTGTCTGTGCAAATTTTCAATAAATAATCCTGCACTTCTTGCACCAGTTCATGTCCCTGGGGAGTCTTCCCTTCAGGTCTGTAGATGAAGCACAGGGTGCTCTTCCAGGCCCTCCCATGAAACTCTTTGCCCCCTGCCAAAACAGCAACAGTTGAATAGCTGGTGGGCTGCACTCTGTTGGGCTGTGCTTCCCTGCCAGCTGGCATTGTTCTCCCAATGGTACCAGACCGGAGTTAATTTCATTTCTGTATTAACTGGTAGGTTCTTCTGCAATGCAACTCCTTAAATACTCCCAGTGAAATGCATGTTTGTGTGCTGCTACAGGGCTGACCTGGGTTGCCTGTTGCTCTCAGTGTCCCTCTGATGCTACTTCTTCATCTAAATTTTGTGTTGTCTGCCAACTGCACCTCTTTGTCTCAACCCACTTTCTCACCCGCTGCCTCCTAGGCAGTGGCCTTCAGCTTTGCCCTTGTGTGTTGTTTCAGCTAAGTCAGCGTTTCTGGTTTTGTTTCCTCACCAGTGGATTGATGGCTTCTCCCATGATACAGTTCAGCACTCCCTGTTCTTCCACATCAAACATCTTGCACTTAACTGCCCATGCTGCTTCTTCTCTGAGCAGTTTGCCCAGGCTGGAGGCAGAGTATGTGGGCACCTAAACTAGGTCTGAAGGATTTTAGAAACTGATGTAGTTTATTACCAGACACCCCTGTCCACACGTCTGCTGTGACTCCCTCAGAGAACCCAAATAAACTTGCAGGCTGTGACTTCCTTTAAAAAATGCTATGTTAATCTGTGTGCAAAAAACTTAATTTCTTGAGGTATCTGATTCACAATGTTTTTGCAGTTGGCTTGGTACACAGGTCAGATTAACCGACTCCCCTAGAACTTCCTTTGTAACAACTTCTGTCACTTTACACTTTTACAGTGCGGAGTCTGACTCAAGTTTATAGCCACCTTTCTGGTCAAATTCACATCTGAGATACATGGGAAGCCCGCTGTCATGCACTGGTTTGCTCAGCTGAGTCAGCCATCAGACTGACAAAACCCCTCTCATGACTTCTCATTCACTTCAGCAGCCTCCATACTTCCTTTCCATTGCTCCTTTATTACAAGTTTTTCCAAATTGAAGTCCTGGCTTCATTCCTGCTTTGAACTTACAACTAGTTTTCAATCTGTAACTAGCTGCTGGTGCCATTAATTCTAAAAGCAGTTTGTGTCCACGCCCGCTTGGGAGCCTGCTTTTCCTGGGAGCTGGGGCTGGTATTGCAGAAGAGTCCTTAGTAAGGAAAACATTTGACCATAAATTGTTGGTTGCAAGAATACGTTCTCTACATCCTCAAATTCTCATACGCTTTAGCCAGTCCCTGTCATACTTGCCTGTCTTGGGCCATCCCAAGCTGCTTTGCCTTGACTGCCTCCTTGTCTGTTTTTGGCACAGGCTGTCTGCTGCAGAGCAGCTTCCAGACATTCTTCAGGATGCTTTCTTAGACCTGGGTAGCAGCCATCACGCAAACAAACACTGGCAAGATCCCTCAGGCAGGCTCAGCCACATTTCTTGGAAACAGGTCAAGGGGGAAAAAGCCACAACTGAGAACAACACAGTTCTGTTGTGCTGTGTTGGGCGCAGGGCCAGGCCTTGTTTACGGCTTCCTAGAGAGCAGCTAAATGCTGCCTGTTCAGGTCGTCACAACCGCCACAAAGGGAGCAGCAGCAGAGCCCGGCTGGCCGGCGTCCCGTAAGGCAGCAGCAGGCCCGTGTGGAACCGCACACGTTGTGCCTGGGCACGGTGCTGCTGATGTTTCGGCCGCTGGACGTCGGAATTGGAGGTTGTAGCCCACGGGGAGCGCGCCGTTGCGGGGCGCTGCGCGAACGCTGCCGGGACCCCCCCCCGCCTCTGGCCCTGCTTGTCTCCGCGGCGGCTGCAGTTGAGGCGGTGCCAAAGCAGGGGGGGCGCGGGGCTGGAATCCACGGCACAGCCCAGCGATTGCTGCCAGGAACGGACCCGCACGCTGCCCATCAGCTCCCGCAGCCTCCGAGCCGGCACAAGACCGCGCCGAGGCCCCGGGCGCGCCCGCACCTCCCCGTCAACGCGGCCCGGCGCGGCGGGGCCAGAGGCGGAGCGCCCGGCCGGCGCCGCCCCGAGGTGTCGGGCGGGCGGCTCTGCCCCGCCCGGCTGGGAGCGGGCTCCGACTCCCGGCCCGGCCCGGGCCGCCATTGGCCGCGGGCGGCGAGGGGGGGCGGCCCTGCCGGGCAGCGGCGTCGCCTCCAGCTCCCCCCCCCCCCCCCCCGTTTCGAGCCGAGCCGAGCCGAGCCGAGCCCCTCCGAGCCGCCGGGCCATGGGGTCTGCCTAGCGCCCGCCCCGCGCCCGCCATGCTGGGCTCCGAGAGCGGCCGTGACGATGCGCCCCGCTTGTCTCCGCAGACCCCGGGATCCCCGGCAGCGCCGCGGCGGCAGAGCAAGGAGAGCAGCCTGACGGTGAGTGCGGCCGGTGCGCCGTGCGGGGCACCGGCGGGCGCCCGGCCGGTGGGGTGGGGTGGGGGGAGATAAGCGGGCAGGGCCTCCACCGCGAGTAATTTTGGTGTTTAAACGTAAGTCAGGGGCTCGGGGGAGGCTTGGGGATCGCCCTCCGGGGCAGAACTGTAGTGTCATTTTTCCTTCGATCCTGATGGTTGTGGGATGAGCAGGAGGTCAGGACAGACCAAGGAAAGGGAACACGCGTGCTCGAGAGGTGCTTGAATGTGAACCAGGCGTCCTGAAAAAACTTTTTCATCTGGTAACTCTGCCAACCTCCAACAGCCTCTGTGTTTGGAGAAGCACTGAAAAGTTAGAGAAATACAAACTGAATCTTTAATTTTTTCTCAAAGAGCTGTTGGAATGTATTTTTCTGTGCCAGAGTGTCCAGGTGAAGATTTCTGATGGGAAGTATAAGCAAAGATTTTAGGTTTTGATATGAGGTTAATCTTACATTTGCTTTTAATATTAAAAATTAAATATAGTTGAATCAATTAAGATGTTATCTGAACCATGTTTACAGACATTAATATCTTTTGTATGCCTGGTGACCTCACCTGGAACACATTTTGCATTTCTGGACTCCTCAGTGCAGGAGAGATTTTTAAAAACAGGAAGGAAATCAAAATAAATTAATGAAAGTGACTGGCGATAGAAAGGTTTCTTTAAAATTAAATAAGATAAATGAGCAGATAAATGAAATGTAGTGATAAAGGAGAGGCAATAAACATTCTTACAGCTGCAAGCATTGGCAGGGTATAAAATCCATGAGAACCAAAGGAATGATTTAATGTTACACATCGTTGTTAACTGTTACTATGAGGAGGGGGTTGTTGTCTGCATTATCACATGCAGCCTGTTGATTTATCTGCCAGTGGGCATGATTCCCTGGGTTTTGAGGGTTTGAAAGGAGCACATACAGGTGTCTCTGACTGCAGTGCAGATCAGTCATTACCATGTAGGCACAGTTTTATGTGGAAAAAACAAATAATTCAATAGTTGGGTATCAAAATCAGTTGTTACAAGTAAAAAAATATTGTTCTGTTGATTAGTGTACTCAGAGAATGGGATGTTGTGAAGTTAGTATAAATCTGTTGCATTGGACAGATTTGCAAATGTCCTGGGAAGTCAGCTGCAGGGCCTCCAGGGCTGTGGTTGCTGGGCCTGCAAACATGTCTGAGCCACCTAAGGCAGCCCACTACCCACCTGGGACAGGGGCAGGGGCAAGCCGTGGGTTGAACATCATGTCCAGAGGGACTAGACAGGGTCCTGGGATGGGTTGCACTGGGTTGCAGGGTACAGCTACAGAGTTGACAGCACTTGTGTTTCTGAAATACTTGCTGTTTACAGGGGGGGAGGACTCAGGCTGTTCACTAAGGGTGGTTTTCACTGTCGCATTTGCTGGCCCACGTGCCATGTGGTAGCATCTGCAAAGCAAGAAAGTGTTGCGTGTTATGTCAGGCTCACAGGGTGTGTTTCCTCAGCAGAAGTCTGAAGCTTTTAAGTTTGATGCACCAAACAGACAAACACAAGCTAATTTTAACAGCTGTTTGCTCCAAGCCATTGCCTGCATCAAGGAAGTGTTGTGAAAAACAGTATTTTCATATGGAGTATGTAAAGCTGTAAAGCAATGTAATTTTTCCCCGTCTCCTTGGAGGTTGTGTTTGTTCAGTGCCACTTAAGCTGACATTGGGATGTTCTGGTTAACTGAGCTGCAGGGCATGCCCTTAGCTTGCTGTCACATGTTTTTTGGTCTGTAGCAGTGCTCAGGCAGAACTTTTTCTTGAAGAGGGTAATTTTGTGATTAACTTTGGGGGTCAGTCCAGCAAACCTCCCCCCAAACTGAAATTCTGTGATATGCAAACTGCAGGCATCAGATGATGTCCAACCGGAGCAGCGGCTGCAGCCTAGCTGTCTCTGTTTCCCCAGTTTTAGCAGAAGGGTGGGAGTTCATTCCCATCTTCCCAGGAGTGCAGCTTCCTCCTGTACTTCCAAATAGCCATTTGGAAGCATGGCTTCTGGAAATCCTGAAGGCAGGTGGGAGCTGGAGTATTTCTCGTCCATGTGCACCCAACAAGAAGAGTATGATGTTTTCTCTTTGGTAAATTAATGTTGTCAACACTGTGTTGAGTGTTTTCTTTGGAAACTCTGCTGGGTTATATCAGAGACTGTTACAAAACAGCCACTTGCACAAATTATTGATGCTCACTTAGGAAGCAGCAGTGCAGGGCTGTGGTCTGTGTTGATTTTACAGTCGGTTTCAAGGTGCACTCATTAATTTTAGGCTGGATGGTGTGCTGCCGGATTCCTGAAGAGCTGTCTTTCTGGAGTTGAGTTCCTGTGGAAGCTGAAGCTCCTTTACCATAGATGAGGGAGAGTTAAATGGAGAGGGTACAGGGGGATGTACAGGGTACAGGACCAGAGCTATGTCTCACTTGAAGAGCAAGAAACCCAGCTGATGATACGGTATTTCTGAGTGTGGGTTTCTTTCTGAAGAATGCTCTAGTGCCTTCTGAAGATACAGCATGACTTGGAAAATGCTGGCATTTATTGTGTATATTGAACATGTAAATGAACATGTGCTGCAGATGGGAAGAGGGACAGTCTACATTCAGTGATTTGGTATTTTCTGCTGCTGTGCTCTGTGTCTGACACAATGTGATGAACACAGTATGAGGCTGCATGTTCAGCACCATTCTCCCTAATGTCCTGGGGCTGACTGCATGGCAGAAACTGTCAGAAATCCCCTGCTTTGGCAGGCACAGACCAAATCATCTCTGGACCTTTCTACAGATAGACCAAATCAAGAGGGCTCCTAAACACTTTTGGCAGAATTCTCCCTTTGAAATAGGAAGCATATCAACTGACTTTGTTAACAATTGGGACTTCAGTTGTCTGTTCTCCCTTTCTGTTGTACCATAGCTGCAGCATCACCCTGCCAGCACTAGAACCTCATGCAAACTTGTGATGTTGAAGCTACCTAGACACAGTCTAGGCGTTCTTGGGCTTCCCTGTCCGGGTGGAGTTAAAACTGCCCAAGCCTTTGTTCGTTATCTCTTCTGAGATCTCTTTCTGACTTTGCATTTGGCTGTTTCACCCAAACAGTCCCATTTGACAGGTGAACTCATTACATCTAGTGGAGTTGGCCATTGCACTTTTCAGGTCTCTGCTGAAATTGTAAAGCAGATAGTGAAGTTAGGCAATCTGGCACAGCAGTGCTGTGTTTAAGGTGCTATGAACATGCAGAGATCAGGAAAAATAATCTGCATTTTGAGTTGAAGAAATGAGCAAGAATGTTGACCTGCTTCAGTCACTTTAGCATGGCACAGTAAGCTCACCCAGTCTGCTCACTTATTTATATAGTGTCTTATGTAATAAACATGTAGTTGATTACCTAAGCTTTGATCAAGTTATTCTTGTTCTATTCATGTTGCTTGACAATGTCTGATTTACTGGTGAGTGCTGGTAGCAACTTCAAAGCCTCCTGAGGACTTTGAAATCCATTAAATGAATGTGCATATCCAACCCAACAAAGTTGCTTGCTCTTGAGCACACAGCTGTTGTGCAAATCCTGTGTGCTCACCTGCCTCCCTGTGGCATTTCTTCTGTCACCCTTTTGCAACTCAGACATAATCAGGAGTTGCCTACAACGTAAACAGCTCATTTTGCCATCGCTGCCGGTGTACTCATGTGAAACATGAGCTGGAATATTTAGTTCCTAATAGTGTAATTGCTTTTGCTCGTGATCAGTATACAGGCAAAAGTATTTTAATCTATTTATTTATTTAGTTACACAGCAGTCTTATCAAGAAAAATACATCAATTTGTGTTGCTTGTGTGGTTTTCTTCCCCCACCCCAAGCTTTGTTGCTATGTTTTTCACAGCCTGTGTACCACCTTCTATCCTTGGAGATGGAGTGGATCTCTCACACAGGTTTTATGGTACCACTCATGTCCAGTGGCAGCTGGAAGGACAGGCTGCTGTCCTCTGGCATGTTAGCTGAGCTTATACTTGGAGTACACCTTGCTGGTGTCTTGTCATTAATTTTGCTTTGTTGCAAGCTGACAACAGCCATTATTTTTATTAGTGAAGAATCTGAATGAGGACTTAATATCATGGTGAGGCTGATTATCACCTTAGCTGTCCCAGTGGAGCCTGTGCGAATGTAATGCAGGTCATAATGTCTTGTTTTCCCTTAAAAGTTATGTGACTCCATCATTAGCTGAGATATGTGTTCTGATTTGTTTCGTTTTTTACTGGCAATTACAGCCGTAATAGTCAGCTTCTGCACACTTTTGTTCAGGCCTTGCTGGCTAGTCAGTGTTGTTAAAAGTGATTAGCACTGCAATGGTATATACTGTTGTTGGAATTTGGACCTTTCATGTAGCCTGACTGGCTTGAGAGCAGGGGTCCAGTTGCACAGGGAGGGGATGCCATCGTCTGTGGGACTGATATATCTATTTAATGCTGTTAAACATCAGGAAGTCACCACGAGATGCTTTGGCTCTCTTTAGCATCAGTCAAAAAGCTCTTCAGTGGAACTAAGCTGGTGAACCAGGGTGCTTTTTTTCAGCTGTCTTTGATTTTAGAAACAAGAAAAGGAGCATTTCAGTGAGGACTGTGGGGGGAGCGAGATGTGGTCACTCCATTACTGGTGTGTGGCCATGTGCTGCTCAGTGCCAGCCCAGTGTTCCCTTCGCTGCTAGGAAACCCTGAGAGGTTTTAGAAATGTTCAGAAATACAGATCCAAGAGCTGTTGTTAAAGAAATCTGTGGTGATGAAAGGAAAGAGTCACAGGATTTGCGATGCAGTCATACATAATTTTTAGTAATATTTCTAGAGTTTTGAAAATTTTCATGCCCCCTCTGGGACTTTGTTTAGAAAAATGTAAGTTCTGTTAAGTTTTGTCCACCACACAAATAATCTCTTACTTTTTTTTTTTTTTTTTTTATTGAAAAAGCTTCTGCAGATTTTCTTTTATTCTGGCATTCTTTTATTCTATTTCCTTTTAAATGTTATATTAGAACCAAATGGCCTCGTGACTTCTTCCAGACAATTAAGCATCATTTCTTAGACAATTAAATATAAGATTCTGAGACGTGAAGAATGTTTGTTTTGCTCATCAAATGTTGAGTATGATGATACTCTTTGAGAAACACATGAATTAACTCTACTCTCATTACCTGTTGACATGTGTATTCAGTGTTCTTCTTCCTGTTGCATGTGTGGATGTGGTGTGATGAGTTCAGCCCATTGCAGTGGGACACCTTCACCAGTTCAAGTGTGGGCATTTCCAGTGCCTCTGTTTATTTCTTCAGGACATTAGTGATGTAACAGAGTTTCCAACCAACACAGATTTAGTTTTTGTGAAACAGGTGCCATTTTTAGCAGGGACTATGAACTTCCCTTGCAGTTTCCCTTTGCAGATTTCTAAGCTGCAGGGAACAACTTGTGTGCCACTGTACGTGCTCCCTGCTGCACATCACGTCCATGTCCTGGTGTGTAGTGCAATGGTGCCCAGTCTTCTGGGAAAGGCTGCAAAATACACTTAGGGGATGCCTATTTCCCCCTTTCTCATTATCCAGTGTGACAGAGTTGGGCCCCAGAAGTCTGCGTTGAAAACACTGCTGTCTTGATGGGAAGCATTTGGTCCTTTCTCAGTTGAAATAAGTTGTCTTGGGCAACGCACAACTCCACTCATAAGTGTGTTTCTGCAGGGGACCTCTTAGACATTCTTTGCAAGACCACCAGTTAGAGGATAGGTGGAAACCAGAATAGCTTCTCCTTTCACCACTGCAGTATTGGTGCTCCTGATGTGGAGATGTGAATTGTTTCCAGCATCCCCAAAACTTCCATGCAGTGTCTTTACTTCTTTTGCGTTCTGCTAACTATTTTTAACTTGAGCTAAACCCCAAATTCCTGTAGCTTGACAGTCTGCTCTCAAGAGGCAGCACCTTGTCCTGAATGCCAGTGAGGTATGTTGTGTAAGCACACATGGTAGCTGTGCACAGGGCAATATTTTCATGCAGGCTGTTGGGCTGGAGGTGCTGGAGGGGCCGTAGAGGCTGGAGCAGCTTCAGGTGATGTAGTTGCTGCAGGGGTTGATGATGCTGGAGGGTTGGGAAAGGCTAGGTCGGCTGGAAGGGCAGTCATCCAAACGACCTGTGGCTGTCACCCATATTTTTATTCAGTGAGTGTAAAATGCAGCATAAAAGCCAGAAATCCTCAAAGCCAGAAGCTGTTTAAATCTGTCTTGACATCACCTAACTTCACATGGTTACCTATAACATTGTCATTGCTGACAATACTTAGCATCCTCTATCTCCCCCGCTCTGGGAGGAGAAGGTACAGCATTGCTCACTCACTGGAAGCAGTTGGCCCACTCTGATACGTGGCAGAGCAGTTGTGCTCAGGTTTTGAAGCCATCTCATTTTTTTTAAGGTGAAACTACAATATATTGTGTTATTTGAAAAATGGTGTGTGGCTGTGTCAGTGTAGAGGCATGCCCAGGTACCAGTGCAGCCTGTGATCAGCAGTGGCGTGGGATTTGGTGATACGTGAAGCAAAGCAGAGCGTTTTCTCTGTCTGCCCTTGTGTGCTGGTCCAGGTCAGTGCTTGTCGGATGCTGTCTGAACATAGCAATTTGGCTTAAGGTTTCTAGCCAGTATTTTTAAGAGATTTGGGATGATCAGTTGTGAAAATTCCTGGCAGGGATGAGAGGAGTCTCCTAACAGGATGCTGAGCCAGTGCACGCTGGCAGCCCCTCGCACCGGAGCAGTGCCCTGCACACTCCTGCTTGTGCTGGAGGCATCTGGGAGAGAGGTGCCAGCTCCTCTCCTGTGTCTGGGTTGCTTCCAGCTGATAGAATTTGCTCATAGGCTTTTAGATTTGGTAATCCCTGAATGGGGAAGGGAAGGAAACCCAACCTACCTAACCAAAACAGGGCAAGATGGTCTTGTGGTGCCGTCCTGAGATAACTGAGCTGACAGAGAAGAGGCAGGAGAGGAAAACTTTAGCAGAGACAGAAATCATCCTCGGTGAAACATCCCTAACGGAGGGGTTTCGTGCTGGAGGCTGTAGTGGTCACAGGTGAGCACCACCACCTCTGTCGTGTGGCCCTCCTGCTCTGAACTGATGTTTTATAACCCCTGTTGCGTGGCACTTCTGATGGGAAATGTGAAGGATCAGGGAGGTGTTTTCAGCAGCTCCTGTTGTCTGTTGTTGAGACTGTGGCAGGTGGAGGGTGGCTCTGGCTGGCGATGCAGTCTCACCAGTGCATGGCTGCTGCCTGCAAAGGGATGGTGAAGTGAGAGCCCTGGTCTCCAACCTCTTGCAGATCAGATTGAAGCCCAGTGGGAGCTGGAAGGAAGCTGGAAGGAAGCTGGAAGGAGACGCATGATTTGGGATCTAGCTGAGGTGTCCTCAGCCTTCTTTGAAATGGATTTGGCAAGCTCTGGACAGTGATTTTGTGGAGAAGCGGGGTGGAGAAAGCTCTTGCACTGCATACAGGGCAGCCATTGAAAGTTCAGCATGGGCAGACAGCAGCAAAGCCAATGAGGCTTTGTAGGAACAGCATTGTATCAGCTAAGGCTTTGTCTGTGTTGCTCTAGCACTGTAGGTTTACACTCTGTCAGCACTTTGCAGCATGTTGCCATGGCCTTTTTGATCCTCTCTGAATAGCCCAAAGGCAGATTCACTTCATGTAGGCACTACATTTAGGTCTGCCCATGCAGCTGTGCTAACTCTGTCCACAGCTTTGTTTTTAGATTTCCTGATCCAAAAAACTCCAAGCGCATACAGTTATATTTGTGAGTCTTCCGTCCCCAAATTCTGTTGGTTCCTTAATTAATGCATAAGTAAGTACTCTTAGTTCAGTGAACCTGCAGGTGCAATAAGAGAAACTGCTTTTAGTGTTCCTGACCAGCAGAAATCTTAGGCAAGCATTATGTACTGGCAGTGAGCTCTGACTCTTCCTGATGCTTCCCCTGAAGCACTTAAATGCATCCAGAGTTATTCTGGAGCACATTTTGCAGTAGCTGTCACATTTTTTGCTTCCACTATGCTTTCATCAGGCTACACTTTCTACTGTGATAACTTAATGAATACTTGTACTTTTTATGCCTGTGATGAGTCCTGTCTCAAAAATTGCAGTGGTTTTTGCGCACTGAAGGCTATCTGACTTTTGAGAGCCCCTATTCCTTTTTTTATGGAACATCATTTTCATTTGAAAAGGTCTCTGGGATAGATGGAAGGGCTGTGCACTGAAAAAATAACATCTTTTTTTGTAATCCAGTCAGGGACTAACATAGCCAAGATTTTCTGATGAGATACACTGATAGTGCCTTCAGTGCTCTCTGCTGCACCATTTTTCTTGTGTTCAGGGCATGCTCAGGGTGTTTCAGGTCAGGATTTTTACCACAGTCTGTTAGGGTTCTAGGAGAACTGCCTGTATGGCACTTTCAGATCAAGCAGGTTTTCATCATGTGAAATGGGTAGTTCATTTTCCTCTGAGCCAACACTCCTAATCACTCAGAGGAGCTTTCTAGGAATACTTAACTGCTGTTTCCATGCAACAACCAATTTTTCTTCACTGACGTTCATTCACTGTGGGTTTTCTGATTGGAAGTGCATGTATATAACCCCTCATTTGCATATTTCTCATCAACAGCTAAATTTCATTACCTTCTAACTCTCTTCTGCTTTTTTTTTTTTACAGATAAACTGTGTGACTTTCCCCCACCCTGACGTAATGCCAGAGCAGCAGTTGCTGAAACCTTCGGAGTGGAGCTACTGTGATTATTTCTGGGTAAGTAGGCAGCCAGCCACATGTCATATTGCAGCTCCTGAAAAAGTGGAACAAACAGCTCATTTGTGATACAAGGCAAAGGAGAATTTGGGCTGAAATGCAATATGTTAGGGCAGCACCAGGGAGACTGAGGAAGCCATTTCAGGTGGAAATCATCTAACTGGTCTCAGATGTGGGCGATTATCAGAAGAGTGTCCAGAAAGGCAAAGTTAGCTGTCAGGAGAGGGTTTTGATCAGGAAATGGGAATTGTGTAGGACAAACTACACATCTCAAAATACCTCAGCCAAAAGTGCTGTGCAGCAGGAGTAGAGACAGTGAGGTAGCTGACAGGGAATATTATTTCATTGTTTCCCAGAGCACAAGAGCTAGGGATGCACAAGGAAGCTGAGGGTATCACATCTAAAACAAGTAGATAATTACAAATTTTGTGTTAAATTGTAAAACCCATTCCTACAGGCTATTCTGGAGGCCAGATGATAAATTACTTTTTTGAAGGATGAGGTCTGTGAAGGGCAGGCCCATTAATAACTCTTAAATTGAATAAGTTTAATGCAGCCTTCAGCACGGGAAGTCTCCAATGGCTGTGTTTCTCTGTGTGTCTTATTGTGCTTAGCCCCGCTTTCAGTTTCCTGGATCAGATGAAGATGGTACAGTAATCCTTCAAGTGTGAGGCTGATAGAAAAAAATCTTCCTCTGGAAAACTGTTTTTTGGGGGGTGAGGGGAATACTACCATCTTCAACCGTAAAGATTTTATGAATATCGTATGTGTTCTCAATTATCAGTTATTGAAGCATTTCCAATTTAAAAAAAAAATTAAAAAAGAGAGTTTCACTTACAAAAAGTGTAGCTATTAGAGTCATGGAAACACTTCCCCTTCTGCTGGCTTGGTGTTGGTGTGAGGACTAATGGCGGTAACTTGCTAAAATACACTAACATACTTGCAAATGGTCACGTTACCAAACCATCAAAGTTTCTTCAGTTTCTTCCAGTCTTCTGATCCTAGTGAACAATAAATAATTAATGGTGTATAGGCTTACTTTTTGCATGTGTCTTACAGAAGTCACTGCCCTGCTTGGTTCTTTCCATTTAGGCTTGGCCGCTGCTTGGCTCCTTGGTTTTGACCCCATCTCACTCTCAGTGAAAATCCACTTAAAGCTGCTGTTCTGCAAACTTCTATTCTCCCATAGCTCTGCTACCAGTACTTTCTGCATGTTCAGCCTTGTCATTCATAGTCTGCCTGTGACTTGCTCTCCTTCTCTGATCAGCTCCACCCCTCCCATTGTCTCAGCTGCTCTGTGCCTTCATGGCATCATACAAGTCTCACACTTTGATTAATGTGGCATTTTTCTCTGTGCGAATGTACAGCAGCCAGGGTATTGGAACAAAACCTGTAGTCCTCAGGGAATTGTCCTCTGGGCCTGTTTGTTGAAAGAGGATAGGAAATTAAGTTCTGAAATTGGGAAAAGCAGAGAAAGAAAAGAGCAGAGAGAAGAATGTGTTGGTCCTTGCAGCAACCCTGAAGTCAGTGGAGGAAAGGGTAGAAAGTGCTGTATAGAGTGAAAGATGGGATGTATGGCAGTAATCTATTGAACAAGTTGCTGGTTTATCCTGCTTTACAGTGGACCTGTGCATACTGGCTGTATTTTTCTGAGTGCAAATCAGGGTTGAACTTGACAGTCCATTTGTTGTGGTTTGAGGCTGATTGGCAGCCAAGCACCACGCAGCCACTCCCTCTCCCTTCCCCTCCGGCAATGAGAAGGGACAGAGAGCCAGGCTTGAGGTTCGAGATAGGACTGGGATGGGGAAAAAAATCACCCTTTATGGTCACGAGCAAAAGGCAGACTCATTAGGGGAATTAAAAAAGAACATACATTTATTACAGACACTAACTACATGTAACAGAGTAGGACAGTGAGAAACATTGCCACATCTTGAGAACACTTCCCCCCCCCCCGCTTCTTCCCGGGCTCAGCTCTGCTCCCGATATCTCTACCTCCTCCCCCAGCGGTGCAGGGGCAGGGAATGGGGGGTGCAGTCAGTGCTGCCACTTTCTCCATCTTCGGTGGGGGGAGCTTTTGGAACTTGCTCCCCCTGCTCCATCATGGTCCCCCTCTCACAGGAGACAGTCCTCCACAAACTTTCTCTGATGTGAGTTCCTCCCACGGGCCTGCAGCGTTCCCCACACGGCTCTGTCATGGGTCACTAACTTTCTCCAACTGGAGTCCCTCCCACGGCTGCAGCCCTTCCCGAGCTGCTCCGGCGTGGGACACCCCTGCATGCTGCAATCCTCCCAGCGCTGAATTACAGCAGTGGGGGCTGCCTTTTCCCACAAGACCCTGGCCTTCTTCAGGCACAGCACCTTGATTATTCAGGCGGAAGCCACAGGCCATAAATCAATGTCTGCTCCACCGTAGATCTCCATGGGTGGCAGGGGGGGCCGCCCTGCCATCTCCCCACAGGATACAGGGGGGTCTCTGCTCCGGCACACCTCCCCCCTCCTTTCTTCCTCCGTTCCTCCACTGACCTTGGTGTTCATGCAGCTGCAGCCACTCCTCCTCACAAGTCCGACTGCCCGTCACCACGTCCCTTCTTAAATACGTTATCGCAGAGGCGCAGCTGATTGGCTCAATTTCCCAAATAGAAGTGGAGGCGACTTGGAGCTGGGGGAGCTTCGAGAAGCTTCTCACAGGGGGCCGCCCCGATAGCCACCTCCCCTGCCACCAGAAAACCCCACCACTCACTCAACCCAGGACACTATTAAAGGTTGTTTAGGGCTGTGTTACCCTTGGAAGGAGTATTAGTGTCCTCCCCTCTCCCGCAGCAGGTCCCTTGTGCTGGCTTCAGGATCCCTTCATCTCTTTGCAAGGTGAGCCGTCAGGGCTCACGCTTATCAGAGGCAGCCCAAGGGGCTTTATCACATGTGAAAGGCCATGAGCAGAAGAGAAGGCAAGGCTGTTGCTTTGGCCCCAGCGTAGTCTTATGCTAGCTAAAGATAATTGTAAAACAAGAACAAGATGAGGGGGAAAGAGAAAGTGTTGGACTATCCCTCTGTGAGGGGCTGAGGTGCTACAACCATGAGCTGTTATCAGGGGAGGGCTTTTTGGTCACCACTGCTGCCTGTTGCTCGGACTCCTTGGGCAATTGCCACTGGGAACTGCGTGTTAGTGGTTTTTATCCCCATATCTTTTTGTTGAACTTCGTTTTTCTTTCCAGGCCGATAAGAAGGATTCACAAGGGAACAATACAGTCTCAGGATTTGAAATTCTTCTTCAAAAGCAACTTAAAGGGAAACAAATGCAGAAAGAAATGGCAGAGTTTGTTCGAGAAAGGTAATTAGCACTTTGTTATCAAATTAACTATTTATGGCAATTTTTTTTTTTCTTGATTTAGATGTTCCTTCAGGATGTTTATGATGTAGCTTAAACTGCGTAAAAGATATGCTACCAATTATTAAAGAACATTTAATATTTCTTTAATGTCCATCTGCTTTCTCCAGTCTTCCCCAGCTCTCACTTGTCTCTCCAGCTGTGCCTGTCTCAGATGTATTGCATACAGGCTGTCTGTTTAGACAGAGGAAACTAAGAAGGTTTTAAGCTGCAAATTCAAGGAAAAAATGTGGACATGGGACAAACAGAGTAAAGGTGATATTTAGAAAGGAAATATTTTGTCTGAAAATTAGAGAAGCAGTTTGTTGGCTTGGAGCATAGGCACAGTTTCCTAGAGGAAGATGTAAAAAGACATCACTTTGGAATTAAGCTGGTTATGGAGCTAAGCTATACATATAGATATTTAGAGTGAACCCCAAGTCATAAAGGTAGATGTTGCTACTAGAAATTGCCAGAATGCTATTAATGGGCTGTTGCTCTGCTGACATGCGAAATGCATTAAGCATCAAACAAGCAGGTGATTAGATGCTCAGTTCAACCATGTATAGGAGTTGATGTGACATGATTACTCATCAGTGGTGTCACTGTTATTTGAAATCACTTGTCACATGTCCATGCTAATGTAAATCATCTTGAGAATGACTCTCAAAACTTGAGAACAGCCCATAGGGAACAGTGTTTATTCCCAGGAGGAAGGCAGAGCATGCTTATGGATGTTCTCTCCTGGAGTCAACTGCACCAGCTGAAGGAGCTGCTGTCTTCTGTTATTGCCTCTGTGTTGGTGCTTGCTGCTGAGTTGGTATTGCCTTCCTGATCTGCTGCTGAAGACACAGCATGACTATGCTGGTGTAAATCAGTAGTGGCAGAAGCAATGAAAAGGGCAAAAACCAGGCACCTGTGTTGGCGTTATGGGGGCAGTTCAATTGGGCAGAACTTTGCAGATAGTTGCTTTCCTTTATGGATTGTTTTCTTTCTCCCTCTCATTTTTTTTTTTTAGTATTAGGGATATGGCAACAGTAGAGAAATGCAAAGTATGGCACAGGCAATAAAGATGGTCTGATACAGGAGCTGTAGAGTGCTCAGCATCCATTTGTGGTTCCTACTGCCTTTGACATGAGACAGCTGCCTCTGTGATCCATGAAAAAGTGTGACCACAGGATGCAGGTAGAAGAAAGGACCAGCTGGCAAAGGCAAAATACAGTCGAGAAGTAGTCTTGCTAAGCTAGAAGCTGAGGAGAAGGCAAGCAGAATTGTTATAGCCGTGGCCAGAGAAAGGAGGAGGAAAGCTGCTTCAGAAAAATTAGTATATAATGAAATTTGATAGAAACAAAGAAGCATTCAAGAGGGGGGGAAAGTTGGTGTGAAAAGAGAGAGAGCAAGGAGAGAGCAGCTCTGACACTGGAAGGAGTCATGTCCATGTCTTCAGTAGAGTAAGAAGTAGGCATGTTGGAGAAGACAAGACAGAAAAGATCACTGTGTGCTGGAAACAGAGGTTTGGAGTTGAGTGTGAAGAGGATCTAGATGGGAGTTATAAAACGATGAATATATTTTTCTTTTGTTTGGAACAAATGATTCAGGATTGCTCTGTGTGGAAAAGGAGAAGGACGGTGTTGAACTGGAGAGGTTACTCATGGAAATGAGAGCTCAGGCCACTGGGGGAACCTTTACATTCCCACCTGAGAGGGTAAAACTACTGATAAGATTTTCATGATGACCATCAGGTGGCTCAGGGAATACACGGCCACATTTGACTAGGGGTTTTCATGTCCAGAAATGTTCTCTTCATCTCTACAACCAGACTTCTGGAGGTGAGGTTCAGGCAGCTAATAAAAATAGCTTTAAATAGGAAGCTGGGATGAGACACGATAACTAGATTTCTTCATCAAATAACCAACAAGAGGCAATATTAACTGAAACTTAGTTTATCAAGTAGATTCTTTTAGAGGAGCTACTTGTAAGTAGTAGTCTTGGACTGAGCAATTATGTGTTCGTTCAGTTCTTGTTGACAAAGGTAGGGTTATATTACAGACTTTGAATTTTAATAAGACAGATCTTAAGAAAGGGAGGAAAATAATTAGTAAGTTGACTGAACTGAAAGATCAAGGGTGTGGGTGTGAAAGAAGGAATTAATTACTTTAAATCAAAAGTGAAAATATGATCCAGCATTTGCAATCAAGTAAGCACTGCAAAATGGCCAAGAAGCTCTGCAGGCTGCCCTGAATAGCATCAGTGTCTCTGAGTATAAGTAGTGTGTTTATTAACAAAGGAACACAGTCTTAGGCTTTTGGCCACTCACTTTTTAATTGAGCTGGGCTATGCTTAGAAAATTTAAAATAAATAGCAGATTATTTAGCTACATGAAAAGAAACACAAGCAGGAGAAGGGCTGTGGTGAGTCTGATGAAGGTCTGTCTAGCCCACGGACTTTAATCTAACCGTGGAAGTACTGAGTGCACAAGAGGAAAAGAGCATGAGACTCTGTCCTCTCACCTTTCAATAACCAGAAGTTTGGGCATGCCCAGAGCCAGAGTTTGCCTTAGGTCTGCCATGTTCAGCAGATACTTGTAAACATTTTCCACTGTTTGTCTAGTTCTTTTGAGTCTTTCTGTATTTTTGACCACTGCAACAATTTGTAGATGACTTCTTCAATTTACGAACCACAGGAAAAGTAATTATGCTTCTGTTGTCTGATAATTTCATTGTTGCTTCCTAATTTGGAGAAATAGTGTAAAAAACCTCATAGTCACTGTCTTCACACAGTGACAGTTTTGTAGATGTCTGTCCAATATCCTCTATCACCTTTCCTCTGTGTTCCCCATGTTGTCTTAATCTATTTAGCTTTTTTCTTGCATGGCAGTCACATCAGACCATCTTTGCCTCCATTTGTAACTCTCTAGTTTTTCTTCATCCATTCTAACATGGTGTGACTGAAACTATTTGAGTGTGGGCACATGAACTATATTAAAAAAAAAAAAAACGTAAGAGCAGGGAGTAAATATTCAAAGAGCAACTAGAACTAATAAAGTCAAGATGGTATGGGTCAAAGTGCACTTTTAATATGTAATGCTTCTGATTACACAGGGAGTGAAATTCAGAAAATTTTCAAACAAATTAGTAGAAACAAGAAACTTAGGGTTTTCTTGGTGTGAAGGTGGAGTAACTGCAAAACAGCTGTGTAGATTCGTGGAGGTAGGCTGACAAGGCTCAGGAATCCCTGTGTACTGATGTGTTGGTGTTTCATAGTCACATCAACGCAGAGTCTGCAGTGTGTTCATACTCTCCAGGGCCAGAAGGCATGCTTTTTCCCCTTTTGAAATATATCTTCATCTTGATTTTTAGCCTCTTTTGAGGTGTTCAAGGTATCTTGTCCACAGATGGTGACAGGATGCCAGGCTGGCATGGAACAATTTATATTGGGGCTCTTAAGGAATAACCAATTCACATCTTTCTTGTTACTCCTCCTTGCCAGGCTGTCTGCCCTATTAGTAGTGCTGTCCACCTGCAGTACAAGTAACACTTGAAATCCCATAATCTGGGCCAAAGATGGGACCGGTAAGGAGTGGCTTTTCATGTAGGGTGCCACGCTTAGGACAGGCACTGATGGCAGAAGACATAGTGTGTCTTATGTGTGATTGTGAAAATCATGAGGCTTCCTTTTGTCTTGCTATATTCAATACTTCCCCAGCTAAAGCAATATCAAGGAAGAACTTAATGAGGTTTCAAATTCATTGTTTTCACAGCAAACCTTTATGATGGAAGATGGTTATTCCCCTGTTTATGAGGCAAAGGACTGAGTCACAGATTCTGTGAGGGTCTGTCTGTATGGGCAGTTCAGAACAGTCAGCAGACCTGCTAGCACTTCTGCGCATCTAGCATTCACAAGTAAATCACTCAAAGGCATCCTTAAGCCAAAATCCAGAAGGAATAAAGTTGCATGGTGAAGGTTATAGACAGGAGCTTTGGTTGGGAAATCCTAGTAACTGAGGTGAAAGCAGTGAGCCTTGGCTTTGGGCTGGACACTTAGGTACTTAGCTACATTTAGATGTGTGCATATTTATTCTAGTTGAACTATGCTCCCTTTCCAGTCCATAGAAATTTTCACTTCTAAGACAAGATTAGTCTCATCCTGAAGAAGGTATTTAAAGTAGGTTGGGTGAAATGTGCCTGGATAAAGCCCTTTTCATAGTGAGGTCCTAACCACAGTGTAGCTTTTGATTCTGGACAGCTGTATTTGTTGGTCTTGCTGCAGGAGGCATGGGGAGCTGGCTGGTTTTGTTCCCATGGGAGGGGGAAGAAGAGAACCTTCCACATGCTGGGTGAAGTCTGTAGTTATATTGTGCTGTACTGAGCTGGGTATCACCTTGGGCCTCAGCCAGCTACAGAGTGGCATCCATATCGTATTTTCAACAGCCCAGAATACCAGACCCCTCTTAGCTGGCTCAGAGGATCCCTTTTTATCTAAAATGTGCCACACATAATAGGACTTGCTCAGCTAGCTACTGCAAACGGGCATGCCAAAAACACGCTACCTTCTGTCTCCTTACTGGAAAGAGATGAATTTCAAACCAGGTTTTTCCCCTGCTTATACATAGTTAGCACAGAATCAGGAGCTGCTCCACCTGGATATCACTCAGCTCACTCTTGGAGATGCTCTGTTGAGCAAGCTGGTTTGAAAACCAGTGAATAGCCGGTTGTTTTCCCTAGTTGGGATCACGTATACCTTGCAAATGTTTCATTAGGAGAAGAACTCAGGGGAGATGTAGATGGGTTTCAGGCATGGTGCACAGCCATCTCTGAAGCAGTTGCTGCTCCTTCCTTCCCTGCAGTGCAGTTGGCATTTACCCATGTACCCTTGCTCAACAGCTACACTTGTTCTTCTCCCTTCAGCCATTCCCACGGTGGTTGGTTGCCAACAGTTTTCCTCTTCTGCACTCTCACCGCTGGCAAGCTCATACCCTGTCCCAGGTGTGGTGCTGCTGAGTGAATGGCGAGCAGGACAGAGTAGTGGGTGAGATGGGTGAAGGACAGGGGCTCCATCACCACGTGTTGGTGACAGAAACGCCCTGCCACACCTTAACCAGCTTTGTCACCTTTAATGGGAGGCAAGAAGCATTCAGTGTCCTTAGGAAAGGTGCATTCCAGCACCCTAAACCTCATTTAGATTTCTTCTGTATCTCTGCATTCCTTCATCTTTTCTTCAAGGATATGTGACGATGTTTAGCAGCAGACTGAAACACATGTTTCTCAAGTGAGCCTGGTTTTGCAGACAGTCCATGTTGCGGAGTAGAAACACACTGTCCTTGTTATTTGCTCAGGAACTGTAGGTTTTTCTTCCAATTTTGTCACACATGCTGTCTTGCATATCCCTGCTCTTGCCACTGCATATTTAGCATATGGAGGGGAGAGATGGATCCTGAAACTGGTGCTGCCAAGCCCTAGAGACTGGAAGGAAAATTCCTGTGGCAAGATGTGTTAAAATGCAGAGAATTTATTTAAATTAAGTGTGTGGGCTTCTGCCTTAAATCTTACTTACTGCTGTCTTTTTATTTTCTGTGTGTGTTTGTGAGTGTAGGATAAAGATTGAGGAGGAATATGCTAAGAACCTGTCCAAACTGTCTCAGAATTCCTTGGCTGCTCAGGAAGAAGGGTGAGTGTGTATCTGACTTCTGCAGAAGATAAAAATCTTAACATAAAAGTCATTCCTCCCATGCAGGTACATGTATTTTTTCCTGAGCTCTCTCATTGAGTAGAGGTTTATTTAGCTTAGGTGTGTTGGGGAAGATAGAACTGCTTTGGAGTTTCGAAGATGTTCATGGTAAATTTTTAGGAATATGTATAAAACACTGCATTTCCAATAATGTGTTTATGCTATTTTTGTTCTAGCCAGAACTAGTTCATTTAGAGATTAGAATGTATAAGTACTAAATTACTTTGAATATGGAAGCATATATGGAATATATTGGAGCAGCACAGACAGAGGGAGGACAAAGTCTCTTCTCATCGTGGGTCGGGCCCTCCAAGTAAAGCAGGAGGTTGTCCCTTATTTACAGCCTCTTCACACTTTGGAAGTTACTAAAAAGGTATTAGGGAATGCACTTCAGACTAGATTGCAATTCTTCAGTAGTAATGAAAAGAAACCACTCCTGAAGGGTTAGAAGCTGTTAGCTCTATCTGTTCCAACACAAACCCTCTAAGCACTGAAACCCAAGGCTGGAAATTATTGTCCTCACCCTAGTTCTGACATAGTGTGTTTCTACTGGCAGTGAAGCTCCACGAGGTTCCAGTAGGCGAGGACAGAAATTGCAAGAGGCTAACTAGGCCTAACTTCTCTAAGCACCTACACTGATGATGGTTTCTGTTGTTCTTTTCCCTTGAGGGGTGGGTGTTAACCTTCTCCTAGTAAAGCTAAAACCACTTTCTTCCACATCTTCCTCCAACTTTCCCTACCCCCAATAGGAGAAAGGGGAAATGCCGGAAAAATGTGAAGGGGAAGGAAACTAGGGGACAGTAGATGAAAAGAGAGGGAATGAGGACCAAAGCATAAATAATGTTGAAGTAGGGAACTGAAGGGGACATGAAGCAAAGTGTAGGGAGCTAGGAACACTGCCCGGTGGTGCTTTGCCTGGAGGGGTGGCAAGGTAAGGGAGTGGAAGGAGTCCCTGCTGGAATTTCTCCTCTTGGTATTGTGGTGGCCAAACTGGCTAGGGCCAGGAAGAGGCTAGTGAGAAGATCCTGGGAATTGGTGAAGCCCAGGAAAGGGAAAAGTTCTGTTTAAGAAAGTGAAGGAGGAAGAGCAGACAACAGGAGTATTCGAAGGAGCGAAAAGTGGGACTACAGCCTAGCACACTCAAACGTTCACCAGGGTATTCCTCTCATTCCTGAGAAGGTATGAGTGGGAACAGACCAGTTAGCACTGCTGGTTTCATAGTCCACAGAGCGTTTTCCAGCCTTGCTGTCCAGTGGTCTGTGGAATTGACACAAAGTATGGGCTGTCCCACCAGGTTCCTCTACCCTCCTCTGGTCATATAAAGACCCACCATCATGCTTGTGAGTGGGACACAAGGGTGACGAGATGCGAGTGGTGGATCAGGATGGTTCTGTCCAAGTTGCTGTGTGTACAGTGCTGTTGCATATACACAGAAGGTGATACAATCCTTGGTCATTTAAGTCATTGTAGTTGAATAAGAGAAGCAAAAGATGCTTAGCAGGCTGAAATGGCTTCTTTACTTAAATAGATCAGATAAAATAGTGCCAGTGAGAACTGGACAGTGGGGGGGGACCACAGGGAGGGACTAAGGAAGAAGTGTTGGGAGCACTTATATTGGTGAAAGTCTCAGGTTGTTTATCTGTGATGAACACCGTACTTGAGGACTCAGTTCATTGGAGCAATGTCAGAGAGTACAGATCATTATTTTGAAATTGCAGGTGACAGGCAATTTTTCAGGCTGTCAGGAAGGGGCTACCCTTCAAAAAGTGGGTGGAGGAGAGAGAGGAGGAGACAGGAAATTGTAGATCGCTCAGCTTTATTTAACTTCTGCAAAGTGGTAGAATAAACCATCAAGCTTTCTGGAAGCACTTGGTGGAAAACTAAGATGGTGAGCAATTATTGTGGATGCATACAGAACAATCAAACCAACCTAAATTTCTCTGGTGATGGAATAACCGAAGTCATAGCTCTCAATTTAGTATAGCTTCCTGCAATGGGAGATTATTGTAGGCAGGCAAGAGAAGTGTGGCCTAAATAAAGCCTAAGGTGCAAAATTAGCTAAGAAATCATACCCTCTACTTACAAAAAGTAAACTTCAGAAAGTAGATATGGACTGAGATCCCATAAGGTTCCTCCTGAGTTCAGATTTTTTTCAATGTTTTTGTTAATGTCCTATGATAGAATAAATACTGGGTATACTGTAATCGAAGATGAGACAAAGCTAGGAGGGATGGTATGTAAATTTGAAGACAGAGTTGCCATTCAGAATTATTTTGTTAAACTAGAGAAATTAACTGAAAAAAATTAAGATGCATTTCAATGAGAACAAAGTACCAGGTTTTATACTTTCACAGGATGTTAAAGATGCAGTTACATAACAGTCTGTGGGAGAAAGATCTGGCTATAGTGAATCACAAGCTTATTCATCAACAACTTCACACTGTTGTCTAAAAAAGCAATCATACTGAGATAGATAGAAGGAGCGTCTAATACAAAATAATCTGTTACCCATTTAGTGACTGGAAGACCTGCTGGAAGATGGTGTACTTTTGGTTATGATGCTTTAAGAGGAATCTAGGCTGTTGGAGAGAGTCTAGAGGAGCATACCTAAACTGCCATTATCTAGAAAACAGTGTCTGAAGGTGGAGTAATTTTCAAATACTGGAAGGCTTCTCCAAGGAGAAGTAGAATAATCTGTTCACCAAAAGTAGGCTGTAAAGTAGAAGAGCCAATGGAAAAACTGCATTGGTGAAGATTTATTTTATGGATTAGAAAATAAAAACTTTATTATGAGAAGGATAAGATACCGAAGCATCTTGCTTATGGATACTGTGGCATCTCTGTAACTGGAGATTATGAAGAACAGTATTTTCAAATATCTGCTACGTACAAAGCCAGTATAATTCTGCCTTGGTCAGAGAAGTATGTTATCTTAGATTTCTGCTATCACTCTTTCATGATTTTTCTGAAGAAGATATGATACAAAGCGTTGTACTATATCTGTCTAACACTATCTGAAAAATTCTCGCTGGGAGGTTGTGCAGAAGACAGGGCATTGATCATTGTCAATCTGTTCTTTTAGGACACTAGGAGAAGCTTGGGCTCAGCTGAAGAAAAGTCTATCTGATGAAGCTGAGGTTCATCTCAAATTTTCTTCTAAGGTAAATAGTTATTCCTTTTGCAAAGATTTTTGCCCTGTAATTGATGTGGATTTCCTTTCAGTGCTTGTTCGTTGGGAAAATACACATGCATATGGTACAAATTTAGAAGAATCAATAAGCCGGTGAACAAACTTACTGAAATTCTGTCCATTTTTCCTGCCAAAATCAGTTTATTTCCTATACCTGATGAGTAAGTTAAAACACATCTAGCATTAATTTTTCATAAAAAGGAAAACTGATTCCAGAGGATGTTCACCTAGGGCTCTTAAGTTCCAGCCTGTTCAAGTAAATTTACCTAGAGTTTGTACAGATTACTTCTGTAGAGGAAGAAATAATATTTGGCTTCTCAACAAAAATCTACTGTGTCTATCTGGAAGGAAGAGAACCAGTAATTCAACGACTTTGTATCATTAGCCTTTCTGAAAAGTTCACTGGGAACTTAATTCATGTTATTTTTGGATCTTCTCTCAAGTGATGCCCAAGGAGATTTCTTGAACAAATTGTGGTATTTATCTGTTTTTTTTCCCACCACATGTGACATACTCTTTCATCCTGCTACATTATGTTAACTTCTGTGGGTGATCAAGTTCAATGCAGTGGCAGATACTGCATGCATAACAGCCGTGTTCTGGAGGAGAATTATAGCTCTGCACTGTTTGCAAGTGATTATGCAGAGGTTACTCAGGCAACCAGCTGCTGCCTTGGTAACCTACTGCTTTGCTTCCATCTTCAAACTGAGGGCTGTAATTAGTGAAATACTTTTTGCTCCCCATTGTCCTTCTGTATTGTTTTCCAAGAGGAAGAAATATACCCTAGAATGGTGTGTATGCATCTAGACAGGCAATGTATAGGGCCACTTTTATTATTTTACTTAAACCCTGCACAGAAACTCCTGTAGTATCCTCTGAACTCTCCCAACTGTTCCAGTACCTGCTTTGGGAGTTCCTAGTTCCAGCTTTCTTTTATTAACAGAATATATTTTAAACATACTGATTTTTGCTATTACATTCAGAGAAGTTATTCTTAGAGTAGTAATTATATTTCTTGTTGATAGTGGAACAAAACCATTCAGTGCTGGCACAAGCAGTCAGTACAGTGCAGAGCACACCAAGAGTATTCAAACATAAACACTAACCTTGAAGACATTGAACAACTTCCTTGACAGTCCTTTACGGTACTGTCACATTGGGGATTATGAACAGATCAGAGAAGGTGACAGCACTCTTGTGGCACTTGGAATGTAAAATGTTACTATGCTACTAATGCCTGTACAGACTGTCATGGCAGCTGTAGATGCACGCACACGAAGGATCCTTCAAGAAGGCTGTCATGGCACTGAACCTCTTGATTATCCCTCACTGAGCTCCAGGAGGCAGATTCTGCTAGAAGAGAAAGTGCACATGTGTTGGACTAGTTGAAGTCATGGCAGGCTGGCCTGGATATGATGGTGTGTTATCAGCAATTCTGGAAACGGTACTGATGGGGCAAAGATAAAAATAAGTACTTGTGAAATTAGAGGAAATTTTGAAGTGTCGTTTCTGATAACTCATCTATGTAGTTTGTCCAGCATCTAATACTATGATTAATCCTACGCCTCTTTTTGTCTAAGTCTCTGCTATACTGGTACAGAGATACAGGATCTCTGTCCTGATAACTTCTTTCAGCAAACTTCTTGAGATTTCGAGTCCTTTGTCACGTCTCACCTATTCAGTGATGGGTAAGTGTCAGAGTTGTCTGTATACACAGGTGCTTTAAATCTTTTCAACTTAGGATAGTAGTTCATGTTTTTTTTTTCATATTGCATGCATTTGAAAGTATTTTATCAAGATCTTCAAGCCAAATAAAAAGAGTAAATATGGCCAGCTATAATGCAACATTTAAAAGCCTGAGTCATTCACATGTGGATCTATTTTGATAGCTTATGGTACGTCTTTGAAGATGGAAGTTCAAGCAGGATAATGGTGCTAGAGGAAAGATGACAGCCTTCACTCAGAAGTCTGCTTCTTTGATTCCCAGAACACAAAATTGGAGAAAGCAGTTGCCTTGTTTAAATTTTTTGCCTCCTGGTGATGTGTTTCCCATCTTTAAGAGGTCCTCAGAATTTCCTGTCCCATTATAAACCATGTGAAATAAACAAGTATCTTTACTTTCTATAAGGCAAGTAGAACTACCAGTAAAATGCCCTCCTGTTTAGTGTGTCCCTGGCCCTGGAGATTTTTATAAAGGTTTTCACAGCAGTGTCTACTTATGTCAGATGAGTCAGGTTGCCACTTGTTCCACTGAGGATGATTGACTGGTGTTGTTTACCCAGGTTAATCCATTTATTATTGGAACAGTCTGAAGGGCATGAAGGTTGTTTAGCTACTTCAAAATCAGTTGGACACAAACATCTCTGTCAATTGTAATATATTGCCTCTGGAGTTCACTGAGGCCATACTGAGCTGCTCTCTGTTCCAGTTCTTGTCTTGTTGAGCATTGACAATGCTTCAGGCAGAGCTATGTGTATCTCTGTTCTTAAGAGAGATTGTGTAACCATGCTGGACCACAGAGTTGTGAACATGTCTTTATTATCTTGCCTGTGGCCATCCTGACGAGACAGTCGTAAAAATATTGTCCATAATTATCTAGTCTACACCCCCCAGTCAGAGTAGGACTATCGCCCACAGTGGATCAAGTCAACTACATCTTTGTCTAGCAGAATCTCGAATATCTCTAAGGACAGAGATTTTACAACCTCTCTGGTCAACCTGTTCCAGTGTCCAGCTACTATTCTGGTGACTTTTTTTTTTTAATTATGTTCAACGTGAACTTCACAAAGCTCAGTTGCCTGTTGTGACACTGCCTGGCTCTACAAAAAAGAATTCGGCTCTGTTACCATTGCACCTGACCTTCAGATACCTGTAGGCCGTATTAGATCACCATGGTGCCAGTCTTCATCTGTCTAAACAAGCTCTGCTTTAGGCTTGTTTAACCTCTCTAGGATATGCGCTGTAGGGCCCTGGCTGTCTTTGTAGCCTTGTTTTGCCAATTGACGGGGTTAACACAAAGGACACAGACACCAAGCTAAAGAAATGGGCTTATTTTACTTTAGTTTAAAGCAGCAGAAAGAATAAGCAAGGTAATGCACCTAGTCATTACTACATAAAGCTAGCTATAGTGATTAAGAAAGATCCATCACCAGTTGCCCTCCTACTTCACCATCCCGCCGACCCGTGCATCAGCTGGGGAGCCCCGTCCCAGCGAAGGGTCGCAGAGCCTTTCCTGGCAGCTGGGAAGTCCCACGCAGGGCGTCCGCTCGTAGGGGAGGTCTGTGTCTGTGCTGTGAGGGGGCCCGGCTCTTATACAGTTTAACAAACAAGTCTATACAAAACGCACAGGAGATATCTGGTAGATTGACATGCCTCACTCAGGTGTGTCCGGATCTGGCCAGGATCCGGGCACCTCTGAGGAGTTTCTGTTTTTCTTTACATTTGGGATTTATAGTTCCTTCCTGTTGTTTACTTATAGTTCCCAGGGATTGTTCCCAGGGTTGCATTTTCACGCTGATAAGATGCTGGTTGCTTCATGCTGCTGATAAGATGCTGGTTGCTGGTCAGGGGATTCACTCGGAAGTCAACCTTGGTTTGAGGCCGATTGTTTGGGCCTTTTTTGTTTCAAGCCTCTCTCCATTAAAAGGTTGTACTGAGCTTGAATGAAGTTTCCTTCTTTATTAAATGAGCACTGGAGAAAAGCAGAAAATACTTGCTTTCAGGGACTATTTGATACTACTGTACTGTCAGCCATGGCAGGTGATTATGGATCCATCTTGCCTGCACTGATGGAGTCCAGTATCCCCACAGGAGGGACAACAGAAAATAAATATTTAGTTGCTTCTGATGAGGTGAAATATTTGTATCCCTTCAGAGCACATTTCCTGGATGTCAAAACTGTGTATCAAAAGGCCAAAGAGCAATCTGATACAAACTGTCAGAGTTGAGTATTACTAACTGTCAAGTCCTGCTAAGTGATAAGTCACCTGTGCGGTCATGATGGATCTCTACCTAGTTCATTTCAGTGGTTTCTTGCTACTACTTAGAGTTTCAACTAAATACTCAGCCTTCTGTTTAGTCTCCCTTCTACTTCACAGAAATAAGTAAAATGTACCTTACTGGGTTTCTTTTCACTGTACAAAAAATGCAGATGTGTCGCCGTCGTCCACTTACCTTATTGCAGTCAGGGGTTAGTGGCTTTAGTCCCTGTACTTTTTATTTTTTAACAAAGTTGCATCAGTTAGGCCAGAATCAGAGCACCTCAGGTAGTGGTCTGGATATTGCCTGCAGTTTCATCTTAGGTGTAAGAAGAGAGATAAGATTTTATGGTGAGAGAGGAAGACAAGATTTCTGTTCTTTTGCTCCCTTCAGTAAATATTCCCTTAACAAAGCTGTCCTGCGAAAAGCAGAGTTTTGCAGTAGCTTCACTCGGAGGTCTCTTGGGGAAGAGAAGTGTTGCTGTATGATATTGCCTTTGACTGTCGTGTGTGCATTGTTTCTTCTCTGTCCTGAGCTCTGCTCAGCAGAAGAGCCAGGAATTCCTGCCCGGCTCCTCATTATTGCCATTTCTTCCTTTGTTTTCATTACTAGCTTCAGAGTGAGGTAGAGAAACCCCTGCTCAACTTCAGAGAGAACTTTAAGAAAGACATGAAGAAGTGTGACCACCATATTGCAGACTTACGAAAACATCTGGCCAGCCGTTATGCTGCAGTTGAAAAGGTGGGAGCAGAGAACAAACTGGAAAGTTTATGAGATAATGCTGATTTGGACAGAAAAGCAGCTGCCCGGTGAAAAGTTTCTGTTTCTCCACAAAGAAGCAAAAAGGTTTCTGCTGAGTGCTTTCTGCTGTTACACTTTCCTGGGGCCATAGACATCATTTGCTGCTTAGCTGAAATATGGGAAACTGGGAGCTACAGGCAGGGCTAGTGCATTACTGCTGAACTGACTTTTGTTTCATCCTCCCCTTTTCAGTCTGGGACAATATATTTCAAGTACACTTGATGAAAATACACCTTGCTCATGTGCATCTGGAAGTCACGCCTATTGCCCTCAAAATTTAAAAAACTTTGCCTTAGAATAGTATCAGTGTCAGGCCAAAGGCTCACCTGGCTTAGTATCCTCTCGTGCAGTAGCCAAAAGCAGATGGCCAAGGAAGGCAGCTCAAACTTGGCATGGCAAGTCACAAACCCTCTCCCACTTCCAGTTTTCTGCACATCACAGCCAACATCCTCGCCTGAAAAACTTAAGCAGCAGCAGCACCCTAGTCAGAGGCTGTTTTAACACGAACACCCAGTAGGTAACTGAGGTTGTGATTTAGGGAGAGTTATACCCACAGAAGGTGCTCTCTTGTCAGCAGCTGGCAGGAAACAGGGGATACCCATGCATTGGCTGTCAGGATGCTTATGCCAAATGGTATCTTCATGCAGTTTGCTCTTGGGTGTAAGATGGAAAGGGAAATACTGTGCTCAGTCAACACAGAAGGTTGTTTGGGCTTTCATTAAAGATTAGAGTGCACATGAGAAAGTTTGCCTGGGGATGTAACTGTTTGAGGATACACAAGGTTATTAGAGTCTATGTATGCAAGGAAGGCATTTTTCTGTAAAACAGTAAGTTCTTTACAGTCATATCTGCAAAGAAACACAATCCTCGGTAGGGATATTGAAAAGAACAAATTAAAATAGCCTTGAGAAGAAGGAATAGAAAACGGGAAATGCCATATCTGCAGTGTGCCTGATGAAGCACACAGCTTCTCACCAGATTGCTTTCCTTCAGCTCCCTCTTGTGATCTGCACAACCAAGCACAGGGTCTTCAAAACTGCAAGTTGAAAAAATTCAAGTAATGCCTCAAGATTATTGTAACTTGCAGGCTGGTGTGACTGTAGAAAACTGCAAGATGCTAGCAAAATATAATCACCCAAATTTAGTTTTAAACACTATAACTTGATAAAGAACAAATGTGATCTATTTTACAACAGGTCTGTGCCAAAAAGGTTATTTTTGTTCTGTGTATTTAGACAACCTCAGCAAATGAAGTGACAGCATGCATATGTGGGAATGATGTTTATTTAAGACACTTTACTAATTTGACTGTATACGCTCAGTAATGAAATTGCTAAATCAGCTTTTAAAAGCCTGAAGAACTTTAATTTAAATAATTGCTTGTAACCAGGTCTCAGGTTCTTGATTTCTACAGTACAAACTACTGTTGTCATGATCTTGAATAAGTTTTTCTGGAAAAAGTCTAAAAGTTCCTATTGTTAGAGTTTCTGATAAGTGTATATTGAATCCAGAAGGTACTTAAATTTTGCAAGGTACTTGAAATTCTTTCAACAACTTAGATCCTAAGAAAAGCAGATGTAAAAGGTATCTAGGTGATGCTGGTTAAGACATTTGGAAGAAGCTTCATCTCCCCTCTCTTCCAGAAATAGTGAGAAAGTTACTAAGAAACATGAAAGTCTGATGATGCCTTTTTTACTGTGCCTTTTTAAGAACCTATGAAGAGTTCAGATGCTTTCATGATTTGTTGGTGACAGCTGCTGTATGGTGGTAGGACACTTCTTTGAACACCACATGGTGTCCTAAGAACTTGAATTTCAGTTAGGACCCAGATTTATGCAGTTCCTGACTTCTTACTAGCAGATACTTGTGTGAAGGAGTCATAGATGGCTGAAAGCAGCTGGCATCTCTTTTCCTCTAAAACATGTGACTTCTTTAATTACTCCAAGGCCCGGAAAGCCTTGACAGAGAGACAGAAGGATCTAGAAATGAAAACGCAGCAGCTAGAGGTGAAGCTCAGCAACAAGACAGAAGAAGAAATTAAGAAAGCGAGACGGAAGTCCACTCAGGCAGGTGAGTACCTGTGTCTGTCAGTGATGGGAGGCAAGCACAGCCCCGTGAACAGCCGGAACAAGATGGGATGCAACTGCCCATCCACCAGCAAGTTTCTTGATTTTTAATATTGTAGCTATAAAGACAAAGTGAACCATGCTACAAATCTGTTTGATAGTAAATCCTTTGAAGAAACAAGCTCAGTTTTTCCAAGTCAGACATCACAAAATGATGATTTTGATAATTGGGGTGAGAACAGTAAAAGGAGGGTGAATTGTCCTTGTTTTTTGAAAGTGTGCTGAGATAACTGAATGTTTGTTCAAAGTCAGATTCAGAGAAGCTCAGCTGAGGATGTTTCTTTCTTAAATCACAGTTCCTTCCTTGGTTGTTTGCTAAATCATAGTCACCCACAACTATAGTGATGCCTATTATGCCTCCTGTTACCGTCTTTTTCCTTGAAAGTGAACTTTTTGTCTTTTTTCCACTGCTACCCAGCAATTAAAATTATTTCTGTTAAAGGAGTGCTGAAGATAATAGTAGTGTATGCTACGCTGTACTGCAGACACAGCTACTTGATATTTTACAGAGGCTCAAACCACTTCCACAGGATCCATCAGGAACTTTCTTGAGATCTGCAAAGCTGATATGTGCAGCTTTGTTAGTACCTTTGCTGAAAAGATGTTTTAACTAGAGCTTCCATGTTTCATCCCCTCATAGGTCCATTCCTTGGCAGAGTGGTACTTTGTAGTTCTGAGGCTTTTAAAACTTCAGGATAGCCTGTCTGGGTTTTGAGGAGACTGAGAAGAAACATTTGCAGTGTGACCATGTGTATAGACAACCATTTAAAGAGAAACAAAAGTTAAGTGGTATCGGCAGGAGGCTCCATGAGAGATTCTCTTTATCCGTTTGCAAATTCACATCCTCTCTGTGTTTTCTTGGGCCCTCAGAAATTGTTTGTAATAGATACTTATTGAACAAGCAAGGGAGAGCTGAAGATCAGATGGGAGTAACCCAGAGTTTGGTGTGAGTCTCCCTCACTGTGTGCCCCTGTAATGGTACGTGGCAGGGGAGGACTCGCCCTGTACCCACAGGTAGTGCTACCCAGCAGCTCAGCTAGGGTACTTGTGCACAGCAGAAGCATGTAGTGATCTTTGAAATGAGGCCTGCTGCAAGTGGACAATAGGACTAGAGAGCTCTCGACCAGACCATTCTACCATCCCACTGGTTACCGGTGTTACGTGGCATTGCTTTCTGCTCTCACGACTGTTCGTGTGTTTCGTGGCTTTTATGTTTCTGGCTGTACAGTGACTGAGATTCACTCGGGTGGGTGGAGGATAACCCCAAGTCAGATAGCTCCTGAGGAGGCTCCTGGAGTGTGGGAGCCATTAGTTCTGACTTGTCATGTTAAGAGTAGGCATCCCTCGTCTAGGCGGGTAAGCTTACTGTCAAGTTTTAAGCCCTGACTCCTGGTTTCTTCATAGAGTTTGGTTGCCACACCAACTTCAAATCCATGAGAGACTTCCAGATGCATTTACTTATTTGACACTAGTTTGGTCAATGGAGTCCTGTTCTTAAAGCTTGATTCATCCCTGGTTTATGTATAAATACCTTTTACATCTAAAAGAGTAGGATGAATTTGAGCCCTGGACCTAGGCATCAAACCATTAAGGAAAGTGTAACTGAGCTTCATTTAAAGAAGAAAAGGAATTTACTAGTTGGAAATCAGTAATCTCTGAGAGATGCCTTCCAGGAATTTTCACCCACCTTTCCCTCTCTGTCAGAGCAAAGTCCTGCAACAAAGAAAAAGTTTAAATAATCACAGGTTATTGCGTTAGTGCCCTGAACACGGGAGGAAGCCAGAGCTCAACTGGAATTACGCATCCTCAGAGTCTGGAGAATGCATGAGTGCGCAGCTGGGTTGAGGTTGCAAATAAGCATCCCTTGATCTCAAACAGTTTGAGCCTGATGCTTTGCTCCTGTTTTAAACAGACCTGTCTGTTTAGAATGCAGGCTCACCTGCAGAGTGCTACCCTGCAGCTCAATAACTCATTGTTATTGATTTCCCATTTTAATTATTTTGTTTTTCATATATAACTTTCTGTCTCTGACCTTTTCTAAAAACAGAAGTAACTTGTTTTTATAGTTATGGTCATTACGTAAAATATGACTTAATGTTCATATTTTCCTTTTAAAATATTACCATTCCCTCTCATCCTTTCTCACCCTAATCACCTGATCTTTTACCACACATGAAGTACATGCATTTTGTTGAAATTTTGTTGCACATAACAAATACCATGTAACAGAAATGTCTTCAGTTCCACCAAGACTGGCCTTCAAACCCTCTGGGTCTGTCTACAAAACTTGACTTGCAGTTTTCTTCTAAGCTCTGTAACACTGCCTGAAGAAGACTAATGTGCTGCTATGTTCAACTTTTCAGGAGATGACCTGATGCGCTGCGTGGATCTTTACAATCAAGCCCAGTCTAAGTGGTTTGAGGAAATGGTGACCACCACTCTGGTATGTAGCTCTGTGTAGCCTCTTACATGTATAACATTGAAAAATTGTCAATAGCATACAGCATTCATCACTCAATGCTAGTTACAGTGCAAAGCAGTGGGGAAAAACTGGGTGATAAATCTCCCATTGTATTTCCCATTCACAGTTCCAAGAAAAACTTGTATCATTAGAGTAGGGAAGAAATAATTGTTTCTTTGCAGAAGGCATTAAGCCAGATCAGGGCTTCTTAGGGACCAGAACACTGGAATTGTCCCCAGGAAGAATGAAGTAATGCACAGGGAAGACATGGAAAAATGTGATAAATCACTGAATCCATTTATAAATTAATGAATTTTTGTATTCCATGATTTTACAATTTCTTCACAAGTGCTGCCAGCTCAGAAGAGGCATGTTTTAATTGCCTATTGTTCTGTTTCTCTAAAGATAATACAGCTCACAGTATTCACCCTAGGGCATGTACCTTGGGATTAGTCACCAAGACGCCAAGATAAAGCTTTGATGTGCTGTATTCCTTGAAATACCTGTACTGTGGCTTAGGGCTCCTCTCTCGTATCATTCCTTAGAGTCCTTTTGGACAACAGCCATTTGCTTTCAAAAGTGGGAAATAAAAATGTCTTTTGCATGCATTTTTCTTATTGGACAAACACAAAACTCTAAACTCCTCCTAATAGGAGGCAGGGTAATAAATTGCTCAGCATTTGGAAGTATGTCAGTGCAATATTTAAACTGCAGTAAATAAATAAAGGCAGATGGGTGAGTGGAAAACCAGGAGGTAGGTATCTTCCCAAAAGCAGAACAAGAGAGAAAACGTTGGCTGTTCCTATACATAAGGGATCTGATTCTCTTACCTTCACTGGTGGTTTCTTACTGATGAAAATGATACTGACCATCAGTTCCACTGTGTCCAGATACAGCCAGGTATATGTTAGCCGCATATTTGCTCCCAGAGAAGTATGACTTATAAGAGTGCTAGTAGATAGCTGAAGAGGGAAGTCATAGCTTGCAGGCTGCACAGCAGGTTTGTCAGTTGTGAAACTCAGGCTGAGAAGCATTTGAGGGTAACTTCTGGTGTGCATGAATAGAAAACCTAAATTGGAAAACAGTCTGCATCTGATCAGCTCAGATACAGATTAGTTCACATGGAATACAAAGTTGAGAGAGTCAAGGTCTGAAGATTTGTATTTCCTCGTGTACTCTCCTCCCCGAAGCTTCTGGTGCAGATAGAATGCACGTTCTGTATATGTCATGCTTACTGACGCTAGCACACTTGGTTCTGCCTTCTGGTTCTGCGCATCTGTGCCCTAGGGAAGTCTGAGTTCAAAGCGGATCATTTTTTCCATAAGAGCAGTACATGAACTGGCAACAGCAGTAGGAGCTCAGTGTATTTCAGTCTTATCCATACCATAAGCTCCTTTGCTCTTCTTTCTCCCCATCCAGATAGTCTGCCACGTGAGATTTTTGTGCTATAATGAAGGATCTGTTTCCCAAAAGACATTTAACAAATTGCAGATAGCATAAAGAAGGCAATGTAGCAGCCTGCGTACTTGTATATGCTCAGGTTGCACTCCGCCACGATGCCCAGTAAGTGAACACAAGAAATGCCCTCTGAAGCAAGTTTTTTAAGTTTTGGCCCCACTGATATCCCTGTGAATACAGACCTTTCTAGTGATACAGCAAAGTCCATTACAGTATGTCTTTAAAGGCAGAATTCCGCAGCATGTTGCTTCCACTGCTGCCACTCAGGTGGACAAGGAGTGACTAAATACAGATTTTGGGGTATAATATCAGAATGCAGGAGAAAAAGGAGGCAAAAAAATCAGGAGGAAAGTTAGAAATCACTTGCCTTTTCAATTGAAGCATTGCTGGGATCTGCTTACTGCCAGCTGAGTGAGGTGGAGACTTGTCCCTGCTCATCACGTGGTAAACAGATAAAGCTGCTCTTACAGGTGTCTGGTTAAACCAAGGGCACTTAGGTCCTCTGAGCCATACACCCCAATGTGGTCTCCAGCTTCCCCAAGGAATCACTGTAACTTCTGGAGCTATCAACAAAGCATGAAAAGCAGGCAACAGATTCCCTCTTGCTTGCAGCATCCCTGAAGACAGTAGCTCCTCTCTTTGCCATAGTTGTCTCAATTTTGGAAAGGTTTTGACCTTCTTTTCTGTCAGCTCAGGCTGAAGTGACTTCTGTTGTTTGATGTCTCTTGATTCTCTGCAAATCAGAGGGATGTGCAACCACAGAGTTCAGCTCCAAAGTGTGACCCTGGGGTAGTATCACACTGACTAGAAACCTTTTGTGTGTCATCCCTTCTCTGGACCTTTAAGCTCAGCTTCCAAGAAAAATATGGACTTTATTTTTCTTTGTGTCCAGGAGCTTGAGAGACTAGAAGTTGAAAGGGTAGAGATGATTCGGCAGCATCTTTGCCAGTATACACAGCTGCGGCATGAGACGGACATGTTCAACCAAAGTGTAAGTCTGCTTTTTGTTCAGTCCCTCTGGTCTTTGCTGCCCTTCAGCTGAGCAGAACAGTCCCTATCCTGATCTGACTGACTTATTTCAAAAGGAGATGTGAAAAGTGTATACAGTCATCTTGTTAGTTAGCAGCAGTACTGTACTGCCACTCTACAGTCCTGCTTCTCCAAGACTTTCTGATTCTGGTTACATTTCATACTGCTGGATCACATCTTTCTGCCGGGAGAGGCACAATGAATTGAATTACATTTGGCCAGCATGAGCCATTATTAGCTCTCCCAGCTTGATGCACTATGCCTTGAGCTGTTCTTGCAAGGAGGATGATAAATAGTTGCACTGTTGGGGGAGGGAGTATATATTTTTTTCTTATTAAAAAACTGTCTGGTTTTCAAATATTAAAATATGGGGGAAGTATGCTGACCTCAGTACATGGTTGTATTTGGTGTAAGGTACAGATTGCAGAACAGGAGTCAGAGATTGACTGGCCAATGCCTGGCATAAGAAGCTCTACGTGACACTAAAAGTCTGCCTCTTTGCATCCCGCTACAAGGCTTCACATTCAGATCTGGCTGTTTTCCACCAAGTCTCGTGTACATGCAGTTCTCACTTGTCTGCAAATGCGACGTAGGCATGCCCATAGATGCGCTCTAAGCTTCAGAGCAATGACTGTCTCTGCTTGAAATGTGCCCTTGACATTTTGATTCTTGTTTTGTTTGTTTTAGACAGTAGAGCTTGTGGATCAGTTGCTTCGGAAAGTGGATCCTGCCAAAGACAGGGAACTGTGGGTAAAAGAACACAAAACTGGAGATATCCGACCTGTGGACATGGAAATATAGACTGATCTGTAATTCTGTGTGATGAGACCACTTAATTAGCCAGGCTAATGTTTGTTTTTTAAGGGTCAGAAGAGCATAGGGAAAAGGTTGTTCCACTACCAGACACCTTGTATTTTATGCCTGTACTGGCTATCTCTGTTACATTTAGTCATTAAAATGGTCCTCATTGTGCTAAGCCTTAAGCACCAGACATTCCAGGGTGAAGAAACCAGATGTGTGCTTCCTACCAGAGGTTCCCAGTTGCACGCAGCTTCCAGAAGAAATCTGCTTTCTGGAACAGAGCTCTTTGTACTTCAGTGACTTTGTGCTAACATCCCTTGCATGACTATCTTTATACCGTATGTTAGAACAACCATGCAGTGAGCCTCTGGCCAACAAGTAGATAATGAACATGAGGCAGGAAGCAAGGAAATCCTGATCATGAATCCCAGGTCTGTCACTGACTGCTTTCATGGCCATAGGCAAGTCAGTTAACTTTTCTGGTTCCCCCATCTATAAAATACACATATCTCACAGCAATGTTGTGCAAATATATTTCATATAATACAGTTTCCCACCATGGCAGTGAAGTGATGGCCCTTCTCCCAAAATCTGTGGAGAAGACTCCTGGGTTTCCTGTTTTATACTCCCTCTCAGGGATACATAAACCCATTATCAACATGATTTCTGTTCTAGGCCAATCAATAAGGCTGAAAGTGCTACCATCACTGTTATTTATCAGGAAAGACTTGGTTGTGCTATACCTACCTCATTAGCTGTCTGAGTGCCCTCAATGACAGAAAGAGGTTATATACCAAGGAATAAATGAGATGTTCAAAACCCTTCCTGCTTATGCAAGATGTTTTCTCACAGAATCTCCTTAAAGACAGTCCTCTAACATTTTATTTGGGATCCAGGTTTAAATCACACTTTGTTAGTTCTTTCAGGTGAATATCACAGCCTTTAGGTGTCTTTAATTACCAGGTTTGTCTAGCTAAATTGTGGGGTTTATCTTTATAGAGCCTGATTTTCAAAGGTGCCATGAATGCTAGATTGCATTAAATGTAGATCTAGGTGCCCAGCACTTCTGCAGCATTAGATTCTTAACCTTGTTTTTTTCCTTTGTTACCCTTATTGCAAACTACCAAAAATTCAACACTGCTCTTGGCACATAGTGTTACGTAGTTTGGAGACTGGTTTTGAAAAGGTATAAATTTTCTTCCTCTGATGTTCATTCTGATTGATTATTCAGTGTTGCTGTTAATATATTTTGCAGCATTTCATACAAGGCCAAGATTCTTAAGATTTTGCTCACCTTCATTCTCACCACTGTGGCTCTTGGTGATTACTGTGGTGTTATCTGCAATTTCCCAAGCCATACTATTGCATTTGACCCACAATCATGCTCCACTTGATCTCATTGTTACCATCATTTTTCTCCCCAGCACCAAGACTGCAACCTTCTTCTGTTCTACTACTATTCTAGGTTTTTGTTCAGCAGCCTCAAAGTGCTGTGGTTAGATCATTGAGAATTAATATTCCCCATTATAAATACAAACAGACATGGAGAAGTCTTATCTGAAACACATTTTCAGTAATGCTGCAGTGATTGTTTTTCTGGTTTGCTATTTCAAACTGAATTCTCTTGTGTTTTCCTATTGTTCCCTTTTTCTCAACCACTTCTTTACCAGTATAGATTCATTCCTGTCTTGCAAATGCCTCCACAACCCACTTTTCTGCTGTGTCATTGAACTTTATAAACCTTTGCATGTTGGCAGGTGCAATGTCATGACTGCTTCATGCTCAGGATCGTTATTCCTGGTGTGGCACCTCCCGTACTGCACTTCCACTACACACTTCTGTTTTATTTTCAGTGTTGTAAGAATCCAGCACCCTATTACGTGAATCTCACCTAAGTTCCTGCAAAGACCATTGCAATACAAATGGAACACAGTTTGCCAAAGCGTCACATAGTCCTTCAGCTCAGAGTACATACGCTTCCCTAGCCTCCTTTTCTGCTGCTCAACCAGGAAAGTTTTGTGATGATTTCTCCTTTTTGATTGTCCTATTGATTCACCCTGTCCCAATAATTTTTTTGGCATACCAATGTATACTTTTTCTGTCTCTACCATGCACTTTGGAGGACAGGCACTTTTTTTTTCTTTTTTTTTTTTTTTTTTTTTCATTGAAAAACACAGGTGTAGGGTGAGCTTTCAAAACTTTGATGGCCAAAAATAACTGGAGTATTTAAGTGCTTCATCTCAGGTCAGCCCCTGTATTCTAAGTTCTATTGTAAATTAAAATGAGCAATCTTAATGACGCCTCACCACATTCTTGTTTTGATTGCAAAACCAAGCTAGTTGTGCACTTTATACAGTATTATTAATAAATACCTGAAATAATGTGTTATCAATTACACTTTATTTTTCCTCTTTCTTTAAAGATGTTTGTTATTTTATCTGTTTTTGGACTGGAAATACTGTCCATTAGCACAAATTTCTCTGAGGACTGAAATGTATTTTGGTTCCTCTACTAAAGTGTATTTAAGATGCTCTCAATTCTCAACTGTATTTTCTGGTAAATTTTTTTATCACTTTTGCTTTACTTCCAGGCAGTTTTCCTACTTGTAGTTTTTGGTCCATTTGAAATGTTGCAGGAATGTGTAAGATGCACAAAGCAATAATTCTCTTGATGGAATCTGTATCTTTCTTTCACTTCAGTAATCTGAGGAGAGCACGTGCACCTGGCGGTTAATCTTTACCAGGCCCAGCAAACTTGTGGAATACTGTTCTGCAACAAATGAGATGCTTCCTTTACAAGACTTCCATCTGTGATCAGTGGAAGTGTTCGGGAAGTTTTGCTGTTGCTTGTAGACAGTTTCCAGTTTATTTCTTGCAAAATGTGATACTCCCTTGTGATACGACACTGCAGACAGTGGGATCAGTGTTACCCGGCTCATTCAGTTCTCTGGCTGATGGGTCCTGGACAGTGTGATGCCTTACAAGGCAGGGGGTGCTGGAGCCCCTGTGCTTCTGAACAGACAGCATCTTCAAAGAAGGTAGTGGCATGTTTGAAGGGAAGCATGGGTGCCTGCCCTTGTGTTTGTTCCTAACGAGGTGACTTCAGGAGTTTCACCATTGCTCTAGTCATCTTCCACTGAGTTTCAAAAATGCAGTTAAACCCAGTAATTCCTTGTGCAATGGCTCATCCTAAACAGCTGCTTCTTCAGAACAAGATCGAACTTCATGTTACGTTAAAATAGTTAGCATGCGAAAAGCATGATGATGTTGAAATGTAACTGATTAATAGGAATAGCAAAGTAAATCTTTTGCCTCTATAGGTACTGAGCTTAAGGGTCATCTCATTTCATTTGGCAGGTGGGCTCACGCACTTGATGCAAGTTTTTACTATTTTAGTCCCTACAGGTATCAGTCTTTTTTTACTGAGTGACAGGGCTGTCTTACATCTTCATATGGGTCTGTGTTTAAGTGAGCTTTTGATTAGTACTGTTTGCTTTCACCTGAGGAGGTACAATTAGTGGGAATTTGCCTCTGGTTCTTATTTGGTAGCTCTGCTTGTCCAGGTTTTTGTTGAAGCCACTTGCGTTTCAGGAGTCCTGCCACTCCTGAGGAGCTCCCTCTTTATCTGAGTGATGCTGTCATGTACTTGTCTCGTGCTGCCAAGCCTCTGGCTTCCTGGCAATCTCAGCTTCAGCTAGAGCCTTTTGGCCCTTGTCTGAGCTCAAGGGCTTTGTGAATTCCTACAACTTTGAATCCTACAACTTTGAATCTATTGAGTGTCATGACTCAAGTGCCAGAGCTGGTGAAGTACTTAGCAGCTGTAACCTCAGCTGCCATACAGAATGAGAATATTTTATTCATCATCCATACCAGCCTGCCTATGTCTTCAAAGCCATCTTCTGGCATAGTTACTCAATAGAGAGTCCTTGTTAGATGTCTTTCTCTAAGGTATTCTTTCAGCTTATTTCCTAATAGAACTCATCCTGGATCCAGTGATATCCTAACAGCAGTGAAAGTCATATGGAAATCCCTGTTATGTTTCTAGAATACTTTTTCCCCCTCTGCAGCCCTGCCTGAACTTCTGTGGTGTGTTGCACAGTTACAGCAAATGCTGAAATTGTTCTTCCTTTTGTGCATAACAGGCAGCGTGCAAACTTGTGCTCTGGTTCTCTTTACCCTTTATGCCTCTGTGCAGTGTCATGTTGCAGAATTACTTGCTTTTTGTTTAACTGCCAGCTCCATCCTGTAATATCAGTGCGTGTAGCTGTCTTGTAACAGTGAACTGTGCTCAGATCATCTCTTCTTTGTTTGGTAGGGGCTTTTTTTCCTAACAGAAAATTTCTGTAAAGCATTCATAGATGGCTTTTACATGTTCAGTAGCAGTCATAATTTCTCAGACCTTCTCAGAACATCTTTAAATTTGTCCCTGTTTTTAATGTCATTATTTTAAAAATTGCTGTAAGATAGACTCTATATAGAAATGAGCATTCTTCTTTTCACCTGCTCTTTGGAAGTGCTCGGCACTCAGAGATTTCTTGGAACACAACAGGAAGCTTGTAGGTGTTAAGAGACTTTGAAAATCAGGCTAACAAATAGAAATGCATAAGACTCTTTTTTCCTTAGTTGTTGAGTACATGCATAAGGTAAACATTAAGAAATGAGAACCTCAAATATTTAATGTATAAGACTTAGCTGCTATATGTGCAGTTCCAAGCAGATCCATGAGTGACCCTTTGTCAGGCTGTGATAGGAGTGCAGATTTAGAGCATGGGCCTGCAGCTTACCTTTTGATGCAGCTGTAAAAACCCATATCCAAAATGAAGTGAAAAAGTAGCTCTACCCATCTATTTCTTCAGTCACACACAGGGAAAAAAAGAGCACTGCTTACCCAGGTGGGTCCTTCACTATCAAGCACCTTAAGAAATCCAGACCAGCACCTTGAAGGTCCCCCTGGAATGAGTTAGATGTGACTTCTTGGTGTGATCAATTGATTGTTTTCTTCTGAATTGAAAACATATTTGCTATTTTATAGTAGCTAGTGTGCTTTTGTTGCACTAGCGCAGCCTGCCAGATCTGTTCCCAGAGATGGCAGTCCTGGTCTCCCTTACACTTCTGCTTTGCAAGAACTAGGTCTTCAAAAGACAATGTCAAAAAGGCAGTTTTCAAAACAATGAACTTTAATGATCACAGTCCTTTCTGGAAATTCTGTAGGCTTTTTGCTACCTAACGTGTTGAAATAGGAGAATGAGGTCCTGGAGGTTGCTGAAGCATTGCTATAAATGGCTCTTGCTGTGTGGGCATTCCTCCCATATAGTGTAGGGAGTGGTACACAGGTCCTTTTTTGCACAACATAGGTATCTGACACTGACATTTTACCAGAGGAGCCTGCTGGTCACATTTAAATTAACCACGTGGTTAATAGTCACGGACAAACTCAGATTAAAAAGAGACACATAGGGCAGGAAAATATTTAGCTGCCCCAGTGGTATTTGAGCTTCTCGACATGAGGCACTCACCTCCCTCAGACCCTGACAGGTCCAGTAACAGGCTCATCAGTCTCTGAATTCTGCCTAGCATCTGGAAATCAGTGATTAAATGTTCCCTTGTCGCTATTGCTTGATAACAGGTCTCTGCAACTAGCACCTGATTGTGCCAGTAGGAGTCCAGTATGTGGCAATGCCACACTGATGACTGCAGAATGTTTTTTGGCATTTGGCAGCACTGTGATGTCCTGAGCCCTTGCACTGAACTGACAGTAAGTCAGGTGGAAATGTACTCCAGGATCTTGGAGCACACAGTCTTTCTGTTGCATAATGGTGATGAAGTCTTTCCTGTCAGCAAATCCTTGTCTTTTCCTGAGAAGCACTATTGTTTAAATAATATTCATTACTTTGTCTTATAGTAGATCTTATTCATATAAATGTGCATCTTTCAGTTCTTATTTTTTCCTCTTCATTGTTACTGTCGCCAACCCTCCATCATTGAGATACATCAGTTTTCAGGATCTTTTCTTTATTTTTAAATTTTCATAGAACATCTCTGTTGCTTTAACGTGCTGACCAAACTTCATGCTTTTGGATATTTTCTGAGAGTGGTAAGTGCATACTTTTTGGAGGGGTTATTTGGGGTTTTGTTTTGGATTTTTCTTATTAGCCACCAGGTTTGGAAGTGCAATGACTCCTTTTTGTGCTAGTCACAGTTTCTTTTTTCTTCCTGGATGTTTTTGCTGAAGGGACCAACACATAGCACAATTTGACATAAATTTCTAATCCCATGTGTTCCTCAAGGCAGAAACCTTTTGTGCCTAATGATGCATCTGATTCTAAATACATGAATAAAAACTTTCATAGACCAATAAAAAATAAGTCTTAGGTTAACTGCATAATAATTACAAAAAAATATTTAAATTTGAAATGTTCTTATTTAATTCCCTCAACTTACATTACATTGAACTGTTTTAGGTGCATCATAAGAGACAAACTCAGTGGATATTCAGAACAAAAGCTTTTCAGCTGCTGTATTCAGGTTCAATGAGTGAACAAGACTATAATTTTGAATATATGCAGTCTTTCAGGGCTACTGATTTAACAAGTAATGGCTTATATCACAACCCTACTAAAATTCTGCTAGTAGTTTCCCTTGAAGTGCCTTTTAAATTGTACCTGCTACAAGCATGTAAAATATACAGATTTACCCTGCAAATTTGCAAAACTCGGGAGCAGTCCGTATGCACAGATCTGTGCAGGATTCTCAACCTTTCTTCCTTGCTCTCTACTGTGCACTCTTTTAGGACATGCACGTATCCAGTAGACCTGCCTTTGTCTCACTGATCATTTACTGTCCAGCACAGTCATCCTAAATTCTCAATGCTGAAAATGGAGCACAAAATGTTAGACTTGAAAGCAACTGCATTGAAGGAGCGTTGCTAACCTAATTTTCTGGCACATCCTTCAGTATAGGGGTCTCAGTTGAATAAGCAAGGAATTCTGCATAAGAATTGCTGAAAAGAAGTTTTCTGGTACTGGAAGTCTAAAGCTGAATAGTGATTTTGAGGATCTTGCATCTGCATGACATGACAATCTTAATCATTTGAATTTGGGAACTCTTGACCTAAAGGCCCTTGATCCTTAGTAGTTTTTTTGATGTGATGGCTGAGATTTTCAGAATAGCCTAAGGAATTTGGATGTCCTTATACCACTCTTATTCCAGCAGATCAAAAACACTCTTTAGGGACAGTAACCTCTATCCATTATGAAAAAAACAGGTACTAGCATTGGACAAATATTTTCTTCTCCTTAGATAGTTTCCTTTCTTTCAGTAGCCAAAGACAGTGTGAAAAAAACACAGAACAGTATTGCAGGCATTCTAGCAGCAGGGATTAAAAGGCAGGCTGGATCACCAGTCATACACTAAACCAGAGTTTTCTACTAAAATAAAGTTGCTTATTTGGTGCTTTTTGTGTAACTTCTGCTAAATATTTCTAAATTTCTAGGAAAGTTGTCCTATGCCATTACTAATGATTTATTTTTAAAGATGTTTAACCAAAATTTTATAGCTTCCCATAAATTTTGGCTGAATAGACCCCTTAAATAATGTATCATGCAGCCTCTGTCTGGGTAACTAGTAAATCTTGGATCATTGTGCAAATTATAGGATGGCTTTTGTTCCATAACGATACATGAAGGAATCACTTACTGTACTTAAGAAGTTGAATGTAGAAATGATTTAAGGGGCAGATCTTCAGCTCAGGTAAACTGGCAGAGTTTGGTGGAAGCTACTTTACGTCAGCTGTGGATCTTGTCCTTCAGTGTTGAAGGCTTTTCCTATACATAATTTTTTTGTCTTACTGTAAAACAATTTCATATGGTTAAACTGTATTTTCCTATATTGTTCTGCAAGTTTATATGAACCACAGTGCTCATCTCATCTCTTGTAAAATAAACTGTACAGAGACACATTGAGCATGGAAACTGTCTTTACCCGCTTGCTTTTTCTTCTACCAAAGCCACACACCTTTTGAATGCAATATCATGAAAGAAGACCTGAGGTGCCATATGCACATTTAGTGCTTTGTTGATACCAGCTTAACGCTGCTTGAATTTGCAATCACATCACTCGGGTGTAATCTACTTGTACTTATCCTTTTTAAGTCTTTGCATGATATTCAGGTGAGTAAGGTCCCTAAAATTTCATTTTTATTAGGAAATCAATTTAAGAAACACTTCCAGTTAAGTGTTTTTTATGAAGAGGGCAAGCTGATCATGATCAGTCTTGAAAGCAACTGCTGTGAAATGGGTATTCTTTAAATGATTTGTAAGTCTTCTATACCCGGTCAGTCCTTTACCTGCAAGTTCCACGTGCCTCTTGAAGCTTAGTTGAAGAGAAAACACTGTCGTAAAATGTTGTTCTTAATAAATTGTTCTACTTTGAATATTTGAGTTATCATGCATGCTGGCAGGTTTTCTGACAAAGTCAAAATCAGCCTTACCAAAATCCTGTCTAATCCAACAACTGTCTTCAAAAGTGACCAACATAGGCTACTGCTATAGAAGCAGAGCTCAGAGCAAGCGGGTGTTGCAGTTCTGCAGAACACGAGCCCACCTTCCCAGCAGCGTGTGACTCTGACTTTGGAGGTGATGGCATTGTCCACACCCCTCATGAACCTCAGTGGAGCTTTCTTCTAAGAATTTGTCTGGTTTTGAACTCATGTAAAAATTTAGTTTTTGCAACCACCTGCTGAATAACATCCCACAGCTCCATGGTGTGTTTGTACGCTCGTATGGTAAGTAGTTGCAGAGATGTGCCCATGCTTCTCAGAAAAGGAGAAGGAAGGTAAGATACTGAAAAAGTTCCATGTGGAAGCTTGGTTTTAACAGCAGCAGAGTCTTTGACCTTGCCCAAGGTAGCCTAAATCTGTTAAAAAAATCACAGAATGCTGTTTCACATGTTGGTGCATGGTATAGACCAGCTTGATGGTACAATTCTCCATGTACATTTAATTGAAACTTAACAGCAAAAAGAATTTTCGCTTGTGGAGGACTTCGATACAGCTTTGAAACCCAGGGTGGGGAGTTACTGTACAAGCCATGATGCTTATTTGCTACACTGGTGTAGTGCTACTGCTCAGAAAAACAAAACAGCGAAAGGACCAGAATGGACGGTGGAAGTAGGAGGGTGAAAGCCTTGTAGTATGTGACATTTAGATATAAAGGACAGGGTGTTTTACTCCATTCTGCACAGGAATACCTGTGCTAAACTTTTGCAACAAAAATAACTTAAAAATCAGCTTGGATTCCACTGTACAATTAAGCCTTTGACACTCACATTCCTCAGAAGTAGAAAGCAAGCTGCAAGGGCATCGGTGAGGAGATTTGATTTCAGACCACTTTTGAGACCAACAAGTAGACATGCTTTGTGCCTTAAGATGTTACCTAATACTGAGAAGTTCCTGTTAATTATAAATAGAATTATGTCAACAAAGTCTGCATCTTTTGCTCATCAGCAATGTGATGCTGAAATCTCCAGATAAATAGAAGTTTTCTACATGGTCAACTGCACAGTATGTTAGGAGTGTCCCAAATTCTACTTTATTGCAAATACCAGTCTTGTGTTGGCAAATGAATGCCTCTTTCCCTGTTCACAGTTTGGGGTTTTGCATGGGGTCTTATGTCCAAGAAGCTAAAGACTCATATTAAATTGTCACTCCTAACTCATCTGAAGTCCAGGGGTATGAAGCCTTTTTCTCAACAGCAGTCTACATCTTTCATCTTTTCACAGCCTGCATTAGTTTTCAAGTGCCTCTGCTTGTATTTCTCTCTTTTTTTTTTTCTTCTATCTTGCAGTTGTGGATCCTCCTCCCTCACCTAAAGTTGAAACAAGCCAGGAAAGCTTTTCTTCACAAATCTTTCCTGCTAGAAGCATTTAAATTCACAAAAAAAAAAAAAAAAAAAAAAAAGAGCAAAAGATGGTAATTCCTCTCAGGCTGCAACAGTCAAGCTGCAAATTCTAATGCTGAGGATGTCAGAAGTTTTCATAACTCTAAAACAGGTTTAGGCTGCTGGGAGAATGACTTTACTCCAGACACTGCCAGAGCCAGAGACTCAGCCTCTGATGGCAGGAGGTCTTGCAGCTGTATGGACTATAGCAGAAGTTTGAAGGTACACCAGATGTGTGCCTGTTGGTGTGCTTTTCCCTGGCTGTATGGGGATTTCCACCACTAGAGACAGAACACAAAGCAGCAAAATGAGTTTCAAGAACGTGTCAAAGACCCTCATAGGCTCAAATTTGCTTGGGTTTTATGGTTAATACAGGACACGCCTCAGCAAGCCCCTGCACTTTTCTGCTTCTACCCCATGGGCGAACTCAGCAGTCTTGTTATGAGTGCATGCATCTATATCTGATCTGTGCTGATTTGGTTTATACTGGAGATCTGAAGAGTCCAGATTAAGAGGCTCCAGCTTGATTCTGGTTACAGACAAGAAACACACCAGGTGCTTGACAAAAGTATAGTTAAAAGACCAGCTTTTGAGACAAACAGAGAAACAAGCAATCTAATCAGTAGCGTGATTAAACCATTTGTCACAATAAAAATACATGCTAAAAATAGCACTGAAAATGAATCTACAAGTTCTCCTGAACACAGGGTAAACTGCTTCTAGATGTTTAAAATACAGGAGGTGATGTTATGTCAGGCACAGCTTTTCCACATATTTTTCTCTTTAAACAACTCGCTGTCTGAGGAGAAACCCTAGGATTATTTGCCAGTGACCCTTTGCCCTCCTGCAGTTCAAAGCCATTTCTGCATCTTACAATGCAGTTTTTGGAGTGTGTGTTTCAGTCTAATACAACAGATGTCTGTGTGCCTCCCATTTTCCCTTAGAGGGCTTCAGACTAGGAGGTCTTTAGAGAACTGCTGCTGTGTCAGTTGAATATTGCAAGGTGTGTTACCAGGACTGGTGATGGATCATGTGCAGGTACAGACCCAGCTGCATCAGCCGCAAATGTGAAAGCTGCTGGCTTTCTAAAACTTGGCTTTATTGTCATAATTGACTCGTTCTTGTTCATTGTCAGTCTACAGTGCCTCAATGTATCCCAACTTGGAACAATAGAAGGAAAGAGGAAATGGCAGGCAATGTCCTGTGATGTGCCATATGACATATTTCTAACTGCATCATTTTCTTTGTATATGAACTTGATCCATGATCAGCAGAGGACAATACCACATCTGTAGCCACATTACATACTTCACTTCAAGCATTAGTGCTTAACCATAATCTGAAACCTTTGGTGGGATTTCTGGGAAAAGCCTTGGGCTTAAAGCATTCTAGGCCAGAGCAGTGGTGGTGCAGCACAAGATTCTTTGCTCAAGGAGTAGGGCATAACTTCTGGCTAAAAAGAAGTGATGCTAAACCTTTATACCATGGGGAGCTAGAATCTTGGAAGCACCAAAGGCCCCTGTATCTCCAGTAGCCAGGTAGGTGACAGGATGCCAAGTTTGGAAAGGGACCACATAATCCTATACTGGACAAATGTTTTTCCCTGATATCACTCTAGTGGAGTTGCTTCTTATATCATCTAATGTTTCATATATAACCATAACAAATAATAATGTTTTCTGATGAAAAATGTGCTGAGCAATGGTGTCAGGAAGCAGCAAGAGGCAGAGTTACTCCATGAGGGTGGAACAAACCAGGATCTAAGTGACCACAGCACAGGCAGAGCCCTCATTGATCAGGGGAACGGGTCTGAAAAGTGTGGAAAAAGCAGGATGCTGTTCATGGGGTGCATTGACATTCTAAGACAAGGTGAGGTGATGAACCAGGTTCATCCACAGAATTTTGTCAGGAGCAATAGGAGATGAGACAGACATAGGACTAGGAGACAAGGCTACAACAAAGGTCCGTTCAAGAGGCAAAACTGGAGCTAGCTGCAACTATAACATAGCTTAGATGATACATACAACATAGCTCTGGCCTGAATTTAAATGGTCCTCCTGAAACCTTGGGCAGAGGGTGTGGGTAGAAGCCCCAAAGTCAGGCTGGTGAGGGTAGTTAAGTCATACTGGCACATTTAGGGGCCTGACAGACAGTGATCTGCTGGACCCGTCTGCATCCATGTTGGCCACTGTACAAATGCAAGAAGAAACAATTCTGCTTTTCAGGGCTTAGGATGAACAGAGAACCAGGTTACAGAGGGTCAGAGATGGTCATGATGATTTGCACTGCTCATGGAAGGATTCACACAAGACCACTGAATAGGAGCAGTCATAACTACTTCTGCAAGATAAATGTAGAAGTTAAACTTACTCTAGAAGCTGAATGGGCTGAAAGTGGTTTTGAACCCTCACAGGTCATTGTGATGTTAGGTCCTTCATGAGGCCCCAGTTTTGAACCCTCACAGGTCATTGTGATGTTAGGTCCTTCATGAGGCCCCAATTTTGAACCCTCACAGGTCATTGTGATGTTAGGTCCTTCATGAGGCCCTTAAAAGCAAACCTATGTGCAAAGTTGAAGCAAATGGTTTAATTTATTTCTTGTAACCTTTTCTGCTACACTGGTGCCAACTACCATTTCTCACATGGTTTCATTAAATACAATGGCAATTTCTGAACTGATGGTCAGGACAAAATGGTCCAAGGAATGCTGTTTGCACACCTTACATTGAACTAAGTTCACACACAAGTGAAGTTTCATCAGTCAGGCTCTTCTATCTTCTTTGAAATCACAGAAATATTAATGTCATATTTCTTACTCAAATAATTTTGCTTGTATAAATTACTGTCTCAGTCCTTATACAAATGAAAAAAAAATTACATTCACTAGTGAAGTATTTACTGTAGGCATAAACAGTCCAGCCTCACTTGTTAATGCTGCATGCTCTGTTTGCACTGTTTTTGTCACAAGTCCCTGAAAGTAGAGAATGAGAACATCTAGCTCTGATTTTATTTTGACTTCCTGTTTTATAAAGTAAA